TGCCTATACTCGGTGGCTGAGCAAGGAGGGCCAGGTGGTGGTGCCGAGCGCAGCACAGTCAAGCGTGGACGCAGCGCATGCTGACATTTGCCTTCGCTGACTGCTGCAGGGAGAGGAAAAATCTGCTTTTCCATATGCTTGTGCTCGTTGCAACCCTTCCCTCCACCCACTGCCTCATTCTGCCCCCCTTCCCTCTCCCCAGTCTTAACCAGATGGCTCCCTGAACATTGTTTACCTTGGGTGACGGTCCCAGATGCAGAGTGTGTCCATCGGCATCCTCATTCCGCCCAGTTAGTTTCCTCATTCCTCTGCTTCGTCACAAGTAACAGCTCTTACACTCAGGTTGAATTAAATCTGTTGATTGTGCCGATCATCTCACCACAAGTAGACACACATTTACAGACTTGTTCGTTCTCTCCATTACTTATTTTTTGCTCAGCTGTTCAGCTGTAAACACAAGACATCTGTCTTACACCATTCCAGAATGTTTTCCTGATCAGCGCTGCACTCTTTGCCCCATCGCCACTTGTGTTCCATGCATTGTGTGATATGACATATGGGGGCTCCCTTATGGCTGCATATTGAAGATAGAAATAGGTCTCCAGATGTTGTTAGGAAAGAGGGCCAGATGCTTTTAGCACCTCTGGGTGGAGCGCCACAAAAGGATGTCGTCCCTACAAGCTGAACCTCGCCCTTCGTAGTCACAAAACAACAAGACTTATTGAACATTTTTCAGTTAAGGCAATGTACATTCAAAGCAACACAGTTGGTGCAGCCAAGAGAAATATAATACTGCTGCAGACCTGAGAGACTGTGTGTGTGTGTGTGTGTGTGTGTGTGTGTGTGTGTGTGTGTGTGTGTGTGTGTGTGTGTGTGTGTGTGTGTGTGTGTGTGTGTGTGTGTGTGTGTGTGTGTGTGTGTGTGTGTGTGTGTGTGTGTGTGTGTGTGTGGTGTGTGTGTGTGTGTGTGTGTGTGTGTGTGTGTGTGTGTGTGTGTGTGTGTGTGTGTGGTGTGTGTGTGTGTGTGTGTGTGTGTGTGTGTGTGTGTGTGTGTGTGTGTGTGTGTGTGTGTGTGTGTGTGTGTGTGTGTGTGTGTTCAAGTAGCTGCTTTTTTCTTCCCGTCTCAAAGCTGTTTAACAAGAAAAGCTGCCCTTTCCCCCTCGTTCCTTTTGAGTTGAATTTGATAGAGAATAAAATGCAAATTGCCAGGCCACGAGTGAAAAGCCCCCAGTTCACATTCCGCTAATGTCCTTGGCCTTGAAGAGGGAAAATGCTTCGCCGGTTAGCGGCCAGCAGTGGAGTTATCACCGCTTGCAGGTTGAATAGCTTTTTTTCCAAAAAATCTGTTACACAAGGAGTGGCTCTATGAATTGAAAATGTTCAAGGACAAGGCCATTGAATGTTGAGGAGAATAACGGCAGGAGTAAAGGTGCAGGTTATCAGGATGATTATGATGGTTGACGGTTCAATTGAATTTCCTTAGTTTAGACAGAAGCAGGTTCAGGACACTGACCTCGCTGCCGGCCTGCTCTCTTGACTAGCTTACATGGGTGAAGTGCTCATGGACCGAACTCTGTTTTGTGTTTACCAGCATTTAGTTGATTCCTCTACAGCTTGTAAGGCCATAAGATACTGCCATCAGTCCCTGCAAGAATGTTTCATTTTGAGTTAACATGTCTTATCATCTCCTTGCAGTAAAGGAAATTGTAAGAAAATGATAGAACCGTATCCATATTCTGAACAACACCAAATATCTGTTTTGTTTTTGACTTGTAATGTCCTGTAACATAGTTAAGAAGCATTTGAATATTCGTTTATCATGTCATGTGGCTCCATTTGCGATGGAGCAGCTTGTGCATTGTCCTCATGTTGGTGTATTCAAAGATGCTCCAACATATGCAGTACAGTTGATTTTCAGCTCAGGAAAGGTAGAACTAATTATTTGAACTGTATAATGCGCTCTGGAAATGTTCGAACATGTGTAAAGAAACACAAGGTTTGCATTTAAAGGGCTAAAATCTCATTCTTTATTTTCACAACCAGTAAATGACAAAGATATATTTAACTGCTCACAATAATTCCCCCAGAAAAAATGAAAGAACATTCCTACCAAGACAATATCAATCAAATATGAATAACTAGGTACACTTTTAAGCCATCCATGTGTCTCTGATTATATAGTATATACTTGTGATTGTAGTATACAGCAGTTTCTATCTTTTTAAATCATGACGGATGCAGAAATTGTGTAAAATTGTGGAAATTCTGCAGGAAAGGTTCAGGAATTCTATCTCAGTTTCTCTTTATTGCATAATGGGATAGAACAACCTTTTCCACAATGAAAAGTGATCATCTCTGGGAGTTAATTCTTGATTTTAAACATACTTGTTAGAAACAATGCAGGTATTTTAGTTGGCTAGTCACACATTTCAACATTTTGTCACTTTTTGACTTTATACATATATACAAGTTACTTTATGTTTTGCCATACATACCAGAAGGACCATGTTATACTGATCTTGTCATTTATTCATCCTAAAGCCAATGATCATTTGCATGAAGCCTGGGATTTTCTTTTTGGAAGGGCCAAACTTCTCCAATATCACATTGAGTGAACACATCTCCGTCTCAATTAGCACCTCCTAAGGTATCTTCCATTCATTGCTTCACTCATATTCCTCCCTTTACTTTAAACCCATTAGCACCGCCTCCTTTTCTTCATTCTTTCTCAACATAGTGTTATAGTGTTCTCACACAGACATTCCCCCCTCTTCAAACCGCAACTACCAATTTGACATAGAACGCACGGAGTCTAGGAGTCTAGTTATGATTTATTGAAGATTTCAAAAAACACAATAGTCTTTCATTTAATGTAACCTAACCTAAACTCTTTAAATCCTCCATATTCTGAAAAGCCTGCTTTAAAAAAGAGACATTGTTTCAACTCTGTCCAAAGGATTCAAAGGCTTTATTGTCATGTGCCCAATAGCTACAGTTTAGTTGTTGGCTCCTCCAACAATGACAAATACAATATACTTTATACACAAATACTTTTCATTTTTTTTATTTGAAAAATAAATAAATACATGTTCAAATAAGTATAGAAACCAAGTTGAATTTGTCAAATGTATTAACTGGTGATCACAGTTTGAACTGTTGACAGCTATAGCTTTCATGCTTAAAACATAACTTGGTTTTTAAATGAAAGAGGGATCATACACAAACAACAGAACGTAACCCTATTACAACAGAGATGAACAACCTATAACAGGGCCTGTGCACAGAATGCAGCTATTCAATATCATTCTTGTTTAAGAATATGAGCAGGTCTACTCAGGGGAGAGGCGCGTGCCAAGACGATTCACAATCAGGCCAGCTGTAGAGAAGACCCTCTCAGCTGGAATGTGGGCATACGATGAGGATTGAGTCTGCGTGATCTGTGAGTAGGGAGGGGCAGCACACCTTTAGACCTAACACACTTAGCTATGGCACTGTCGTATACATTTAATTATTCCATTTGATCATATGTAATCAACTTAGGCACCCCTCCCAAAACAAAAAAGTATATATATATATTCATAACTCATATTCGAATACCTGAATAATTTAGAATATTCGATTAATCGTTCCCATCCCTAGTACATACACTTCTTCCCTTTTTACAGTTCACAATTTTAGCCCTAGACATACACTGCGTTACTCATTTAAAGATTTAAGAAAATAGGAAATATCCGTTGAAGTGTGGAACAGAGTTGCTGTTAGCCCCCAAACGGTGGCTTTAAACCTTCTTTTAAACATGCTGACAAGTTATTGTTTTGGCCACATTGTTTAGATCAACACAATGTTGTGCATGAGGGCTTAATCCTCTTCTCCTTTAGCCTCCATTTTCCAGGATTCCTTACTAGTTGAAATCTGTTGCTACGAAGATGTATCAGAAACAGTGTTATTGATATTGAGTCATCATGGTGTTGGCTTTTTTTGTTATCTGCTGGCATGCCTCAGCTTGCACAGCTCCACTACCTACTCTGCACGTCACTGTCAGATTCGGACCATCTGTGTCTTCGTTTGTGTTTAAGGTTAGGTTTTCATTGGTGATCAGGAGTAACAGCTGGCTCTGGAGAGCCATCTCTCTAACCCCAGCCCCCACCCTTTCCACACTAACCAGCGGAAACTTCTACAGCTGTCATCTGCTTTCCCAAATGACCCAGCTTTCCTTCCAGCTGCCGGCGCAGCACCCTGCTCCCAGCCCAGTCTCGCTTCAAGGCTAAGCCCAATAGTTTTCCTGTATCCTGACAACATCTCAATTTAAAGGATGCAGACTTTTACCCTCAATCTCAAACAACTTGCCATCTCTGCCACCACCTCAGCTCTATCTTAAAGCTTCGCTGCCAAGACTTATTTAGCCTAAATAACCTCAAAGTAAAAGCTGAATCATTTGGTCAATTTCAAAGACTGCCCATTACGGCTGTACAGGATGGTTTGAAACTTCATTCATAATGTTCACATTCAAATTCTAAATCAACAATTGAGTTCTGCACAGTAAAAAATAAAGATTAGGTTACACTTATATTATTATTATAATCTATGTAATGTCTTGTCTTTTATCTGGACCCTGAGTCTGTAATAAAGTTTTCATTCATTCATTATTATTATTATTATCTTATTTGTAGAATTAGATTTCAGTGATTTGGCCCCTGTGGTCCAAACATTTCCAACATGTTTTTTTGAATGGAACTGGAATGGAATTGTAGGATTTCAGGTACAACATTTCCCTGCAGGCAAAACTGGCACACGCCTGTATAATTTGATTTGATTTATGTGATCACATTAACCTAACAAACTTTTTTTTATGAAGACATAAATGCTTCACACGAAAAGAAAAATGAATGAAAGTTTGAAAAGAAACAAAAAAGCTGGCACTGATAATCTCTTGAACAATTTCCCCAATCGTTTTTGAGTTGCTGTTACTCTGTATCACTTAATGTTTTATAATTTGTTCAGGAGCATCACCCAAAATCATCAAGCTGCAAGAGGATCCATCAGATTATGCCGACTCGGCCAAAGGCAAGAGTCCTGCCACCAACAGCACCTTGGTCCCCGTCAAAGGCATAAACAACCTTGGGAACACCTGCTTCTTCAACGCTGTCATGCAGGTCAGTATGGCTCTGATTTAGGGCTGCACCATTTCGAAAAAATAACTTGTTGCCATGAATTTAACTGATATTTTAATTGCAATATGATTCACACTATTAAAGAGAATAATCATTTTCTCAATCGTTATTCTCATTATCACTAACTTTTTTTAAATTCAGATTTTTCAGAGATTTTAATATGATCATTACCATACTAATATGTTTGGACAAGTATGTAGAAAATGAGGGAGAGATGATTTGTAGGCCGAAATATCTTTGGCACATAAGACATAATTAGCCTTTAACAAATATTGTGCTTCCTGCAGTTTGAACATTGCACTTGTCCATATTTCTATTTTTATTTATTGAATTAATTGTAGTGCTGTGCCATGAGTTAGTTTAAACATAACTATGTTATGTACCTATACGTGTCTATATACTCATACATCTGTCTATATACTCTTATATCTGTCTCAGCCTTATATGTATATATAAACTGTTAGAGCAGAAACAAAGCATCATGCCTTTTTGAAATTCATTGCAGTTATATTACACTATTTAGTCAGTCAAAATAACAGAAGTAGGTGTGATCAAAGTATCATTTTAAATCTGAAGCATGGTCTTAAGATGGATTTCTAAATGCACACAACCTGCTTGCAAATCCGTGCTTTATCTCAAGAGACCCTTTGATAGCTTAATGAGTCTCAGGGATTTCCATTTTAACATGACAAAATGAATATGTATGCCTTTTATAATGCGAAAACAATCCTCAAGTGCTGCTGCCAAGAAGACCGGCCTTTAGTAAACTAAATTACAGTCTTACTGACCATGAGTGTAAACAGGCCTTGAGGTCATTCTGAAGTATATCCAATGCAGCCGTAAATGCAGTGTGGAGTTTACCTCCGGAACACGAGTGGTACTCAGTTGGTGCAGAGCATGTTCACCATACAACGCAGCTATAGAGCGCCCCAGCCTTTCTCTGGTCATGTCATGGTGACTGCAAACCAACATGCCGCCTAACAATGAAGCTGTTTTTTCCACCATTTTGTTAATCACCCTCGGGGCCTTCGTTGTTGATTGACATAGGAGTGAGCGCGCTTTACATGCCTTTTCTCTCCCTCTCTCTGTCTGTTTGTATTGTCTCGTTGAAAATTGCAATCTTTTTTGGGTGAAAACACATAATTGCCTGAGGATGAGCTGTGTGTGTATTCACAATGCCGGGCCCCATTGTGCGTTTTCCATAGCAACTGTCTTCATTGCCAGGATGTGACAAAAACTATCTTTTGAAAAGGGGAGAGGAAAATATGTTTTCTAACATGAAGGGACAATGGCTGCTTCAGGCTCCTCTCCTCACCAAGGATATTCTGTTAATTTCAAACTCAGAGATCATGGATTCATTTGAAAGGCTCATTCAGAATAATGAACTTACCACAAGTTTCCTAAACCCTACCACAATGGAGATAACATTTCACAAGGTTCATTTCAAATGACCACATTGAATTGCCACAAGCTGTGTGTATACAGTTTAATATATTTGAAGGATTCATAATTTCATAGTTTTTTTATGACCAATTTCTTGCTGATTGTATGAGCAGTATTCAGCCCCTTGAAATCTGTTGATCTTACCTCTATACCTAATGGCATTTATAACGGGATGGATTTTTTAAAATGTTAGTAATAAAATGTGTTTTCCTCGCAGAACCTGTCTCAGACACACATGCTAATCGACCTCATCCAGGAAGTGAAGGAGAAAGGCTTCAAACTGAGGATCAGCCCCACTGGTGAAACCAATGTGGTACATTCTGCTTTGCTGTCTTCTATTTTCTAAGCCATAGAAACTATCTATAGATTGAGCACATGCAAATTACTTTTGAAATGACCATTCTAATGAAGCTTCTGTGTAACTCAATGTTCCCTGTAGTATTAATAGCATTACTAAAACAAACACAAAAATATTTAGATTTCATTTTGTTCCTTATTTTATACAGGGCATATTTCTTAAGTATTATAAACTAAGTCCGTACCGAATTGCTCAATGCTTTATTTATAATGTTGATTATCAACAAATTCTCAATCAACATTCACTTATATTGAAATTCCAGTAGTATTATAATATGTGTAGAATTAGATTAAAGGGGTGGCTGCATAGGATTGTTTCGGACTTGTGTGATCCAAACAAATGTAATTATCCCAGAGCATAGTAAAGACCAAATGTCACAAATAAAAATTAATTATTATTATTCCAGAATCGACAACATTTAGCAACCTTTTCTATTTAGCCTTGCTAAACTAACATTTTCCCAGTGGTTAAAAACATGTTGGCTCTTCTGCTTGCTACACACATAGGGAGGAACACACCTTTTTAACGAGGCAGTCTTGAAGCAATCTAACAGCGCCATAAATACATTTTCATAACCTCAATAACACATTTTCTTCTTAATTATTTAATGTGACGACGTCATGAAAATGTCCTATAGACGTACATACATATAACCTTTAAATGTAAAAAAAAGTTCAGCACATGCTTAAAATAAAACTGATACATTAAATGAAATTTAAATGTGGAAATTAATTTCTAAATTGTATTCTGTCTGTTGCTTTCCAGGGTCCGTTGACAGTAATGCTGCCCAGCCCAGAGCCCCTGACGGCGGCCATGTTTGTCTTCCTCCAGAGCATGAAGGACCCAGGGAAAGGCCCGGTCAATCCCAAGGTCCTCTTCAACCAGCTCTGCCAGAAGTAAGCCGCTTCCCTTCCTATCAACCACCATAAATTCCCCCACTACGAAATGCTATCTCTACACTCTGTATGCAAATATTCCACCTCAGGGTCAGTAAGGTGTGCAAACTTAGCCATGATTACTGTACTGCAGTTCTCCATCATCACAGCAGTACAACAGCGGAGCCGCAGCTTTCACCTGCTTTCATCCCCTCACTGACCACTTTAACCAGCCAGACCCAGGTAGCACCTGTCCCTGCTGAATGCCTTTCAGTGCTCAACACACAGAATACACTGTAGGCACAGTACCTTGTTAAATGTGTAGCAGCAGCTTCCTATTTGTGGCTCTTTCTGCTACTTGCCACACTGCTGTGCCACCTGTGTCATGTTTAATCCAGAGCGAGGTCGAACAGGCGGTGTGGCGGGCGGAGGAAGCCCCACATTTGTCAACTGAACACTGGGTTTGTTCTCTTTTATGAACACTGTGGATGTCTGGTTGGCTGGGTTCCTGTGTGAGCATGGTACACTGCTGGTTGGGTCCACCCTTTGCATTTATGTGTGTGTGTGTATGAGTAGAGGGGGGGTTGCACTGTTTAGTAGTGCAGGTGGGTGACCAGGACATTTGACATTGGATGACTGGGTGCATCTCTGGTGCGGCTTTGACAGTTATTCTGGTACCTAGCTTTCATCAGATAGGCCTCTGTGTGTGTGTGTGTGTGTGTGTGTGTGTGTGTGTGTGTGTGTGTGTGTGTGTGGTGTGTGTGTGTGTGTGTGTGTTGTGTGTGTGTGTGTGTGTGTGTGTGTGTGTGTGTGTGTGTGTGTGTGTGGGTGTGTGTGTGTGTGTGTGTGTGTGTGTGTGTGTGTGTGTGTGTGTGGTGTGTGTGTGTGTGTGTGTGTGTGTGTGTGTGTGTGTGTGTGTGTGTGTGTGTGTGTGTGTGTGTGGTGTGTGTGTGTGTGTGTGTGTGTGTGTGTGTGTGTGTGTGTGTGTGTGTGTGTGTGTGCTGCCACCTCACCTGGTACCATCTCAGCCTGCAACACACATGCAGGCAATTGTGCATTCATACAGCAAGCGCTGCACACACCTTTATGCATTCATACGCGTCTAATTTCAAGTAGGGCTAATCCATTCCACTGACATGCATTTCAATAGAGGGATATGACCTTAAGCTTCAGCACCCAATACCCATATGGTACACTTATACCACAAGTGAGCTTTAATAAAGGCCTGCATGAGCAAATGCTAATATGCAGCCCTAATCTTAAAAGAGAATCACACGCACCGTAACCTAATTTATTTACCTTAATGTTAATACCTTCACAGTAGCTGCTAGTGTTTAGTTATATTGGGTATGCAAATTCTCTTGGCATCTTTACCAATAATTTAAAAGTGCTGGCTTTGTTCTGAGGGACATGGTTAATGTCTTAAAAGAGTGACTATCTAAACTATGACTTTTAGGTCAAAAGTTTCATTTTGTTGTTTTGTTTCCATCAGCCTGTGAAGCAGTGTTACTGTAGCAGCGATGCGAAAGCACATTGTTTCAGACTAAAGGATCCTCAAACAGTTATTATCACTTGTGATACTTTGTAATCTTGCCTCTTTTAACAGTTTTAAGGGAAAGTTATATGTAATCGAATGATGTCCATCAAGATTTCAGCTCCTGTTTCTGATTTTCTTGGAAGAAATATTGCACTTTCAAGGCCTAATTCACTTATATGCTATTTTGTTAAACATCCACAAAGCGTGCTTGATCTCTGCAACGCTTCTCTAATGGATTCCCACACAGCGACTCCTCTACATTCAGCCCCTACTAAAGCTTTGAGCTGAAAAGGAAAGAGTCAAGAACGACTCCTGTTGACAAGGAACACATGTCTCCACTTCTGACCTCTGTAACGGCCACACTCTGTGAATATAGCCATCATCGTCTTCACCGCAAGCTCTTGTCATTCTGAGAGGTGTGGGTCTGCCCTTGGCCCTGTGGGGGCAGAGAGCGCTTTCTCATTTCTCTTTCTCTGTCCTTCTCAGTGTTGACAGGCAAGTTAATAAGGATTTTTGGCTCCGAAAAGAGGGCGAGTTTGAGTGTTTATGTGCAACGCTGGAGCCCTATTGAGCCCCGGTTCGTGTTTATGTGTTTCCACCTCATATATACAGTGAATGGATTCTACGCTTGTGTTCACATTTGACCTCAACCAGCTGAGTACCCAACAGCTTGCCTGTTCCTCCTGCCAAGGGAAAGGGCTCTGGTCTGGGCTCGGAGCAGTGCCATGCTCCATGGGTTTGACGGTCAGCACCACACACTGTATCTGGTGCCAGAGAGGGTCCCAGCTTGTACCCAGGGCAGGCTACGACTAGGCTTATCAGTGGTGAAAAACTGGGAGAAGTAACATTTGATTCAATATTTATCTACTTCCTCCTGGGCACCTGGAGTCTCAGGTCAGGGACAGCGGTTTTCATACAGCCTGACTACTGCTGCCATTTACCAAGATGCTATCTCTATGCATATCTAATGTATAAGCTGGAGAAAAAGTCCACACACAGGCATTCATCTACACTTGCATCTTTCAAGGACTGATTCCATTTTCAGCACGGCCACTGGACACTTTCTTGTAGAAAAGAAAAGTATTCCAGCCCACAATGTTGTTCATAATCCTGTATAAGAAGTCCTGATGAATCCCTGATAGAAATAGCACAATAGATTCCATCTATTGCTCTGGCATCCAGGACACACACACACATCTACATTCTTGCAGGACACAAACAAAGAGGCAGGGCTGGCATACTGGTCTGATCAGGAGGTACACCCCTTTCAGGATGGGAAAAAAGAGGAAGATATTCACAGATGGTCCAAAAAGTAATACAAATATTTGTTTGTGTACGAGCCGAGAAGCACATTCCTGGGATTCTAACTTTACAATCGGTTGATGAGAATCCCTCCACTCTGGTCTACCGGTGACTGTTACAGAATCTAAAAATAGGAGGATGTTGATTGCCTTTATACAAAACAGAAAAAGTCGGTGCATGTGAGCACAAGTTGAGAAATACATTGTTTACAAAGAAGCTGACAGTGAATCATTTCAAAGGCTGGTAATGATTTTTCTGAATTTTCGAAACCTTAAATTGTTATCAGAGCGAGACAGAGGCAAAGGTGGCACATATGTGTCCATAAGTTTGAGGAGAGGAAGCATATTTACAGCAGTACAGTACAAATATGCAGGCAGAACCAAGAGGCTTATCACATAAATCCCCTCAAATATAAAATACAATATCATAAGATATATATTTGTTGCACAGTGTAGCTTAAAGGTGGGGTAGGTCATTTTGGAGAAACCAGCTCGTTCGCTAGAATTTGAAAATACACAACTGGAAAAAATCTGCCACTTCCTTACAGAGCCCCTCCTCCAACACACACGAACGCGCACATGACCAATGAGGGCACGAGATAAGTTTGTGCACAGATGGAAGGCTGACAGGCAGGTAGGGCATCCAGTTACTTTAGCCGGGCCGGCTCAGATGATTGGTCGTGCTTTTTACAGTACTACGGCTTCCAGAGATGACATTTCTTTATGGATTTTTTGTCAAAGCACTTCAGATATTCATTGCTATCGGGATGTTAAGAGCATTCCATGGAATATAACAACAAGTGTATCTCCAGCCGGTTTCTCAAACTTACCTACCCCACCTTTAATATCTGAGATAGATTATATGATAAAGTGATTTGATAAGGTGTTTACTTAATTATAAAGTGATTTTCACCTAGCTACAGGGGCATCAAGCAAACATATAATATAAGCTTGATTCTTACCCAAAAACTTGTGTTGTCCGTAAATATCAAATCTGTCCAAATATTGGAAGGAATGTATAAAGATTTTTGTTTTGTGCGCTTCTATATGTTTTGATGTCACACATTTTTTACAAACATCTACATTAGAATCAGTAAATTGACCGTGTTATAGTAAAAGGGACAATACATTGGTTTAGCTGACATTAATTAAATAAAGAGTCTAGCACATGTTAATGAAATAAAATAAAAATGAAAAATCCATTGTAAAAAAATAAACACGACCAGCGTTATAAAAGGTTAGTGACTCAACAATTTCTAAAGTCATAACAATTTTAAATAGCTAAGGAGTATATTGCAAATGGAATTGTTGTTATAGTCTCTATAGGAATTGGTATGTACATCAATGAGTCAGAGTTTTTTTTTTGTATGGCTGTGTGAGTAAATATTTGATCATTTTAATACGTGAGCTGTGTGAGGGTGCATTGTGTTGCTCATACACTGTGTGTGTGTGTGTGTGTGTTTTGGGGGTAGCTTGTGTGGCCTTGTGTCTGGTACTAACTCATCCGGCTATTAATTGTGTTAGCACCGCAGCTGCTTGCATTGGCCAGATTGAGAGCAGCGCTACAGGGCCCTTCTGCTTCTCTCCACTGGGATGAGCTTCCAGACCTCATCATTCCCACTGATCTCAACCAACCTTTTCATTTTTTTTTTTCCTCTACATTTCTGTCTCAGACTCTTTTTCTGTCTCACTCATTTCCTTCCCTGTTTTGCTTTAATTGCCTCTCAGTGTGTCTCTCTCTTGGGAGACTAGTCAGCGGAACCAGAGGGAAACATTCCTTCACATGCTGTTCAGTTTTAAAGCCGGCGAATAAATGACATGTGCTTTGTACCAACCTCAATACCCTCCAACCACCCTTGCCCATGTGTCTGCACGGAATAGGGCATAAGAGACAGATAGCGTGACTGTATGTAGAGGAGGGGGTGGCTTTAGGCTCCTCTAGACCTCCTGGTTATGACCTGTGTTGAGGGCAGGTGGTTGGCCATCACTCCCACAACCACGGACATCCGTTCTAGGGCCACATGTCAGCATGTTTTAGGGATTATTCATTTCAAGTGAATTCTTCTTCTAAGTAGAACTGTGAATGGCATTAATGAATGGCTGTAAAACACAATGCTGCTATGAGGATGAAAAGAACACACATGGCTGTAATGATTTCAGTGTGTTATTTTCATACATTTTTATCAGAATGTTATAGGGCTGCAAAAATTGGAAAAAATAACGAATTGAGTTATGAGTTATTGATATCTTTTATTAATCATAATTCTACATTTCAAATTGTTTAATAAGAGGATCTGTACCAAACCAGCTTGTTTAGTTTAATCTCTATAATACTGTTTGTATACAGGGATATCTCTGCAGCTCCACAATACTTTAACAGATGTGGGGCTTCCCACAATTTTAATAATGCACTAGTCAAATTGCAAATGTGATACCATTTCTTTTAATTATGCAGCCTTAGAATATTACCACTTTCTTCGATTGTAAATCATTACTATAAAATATGCATTGTCAAACCAAAATACAAAAAATATGTTTTAACTCTTTAAAACGTCAGGAGAAACGTTAATACTACACCATAAAGTCCTAAGGGCCCCTGGTGTAGTCCATTAAGTACCAGTAAAATACCTCCACAGTACTATTAAAGGGGTTAACCCACCACCCAAACATCTTAAAGGTGGGGTATGTAAGTTTGAGAAACCGGCTCGAGATACACTTGTTGTTATATTCCATGGAATGCTCTTAACATCCCGATAGCAATGAACATCTTAAATGCTTTAACAAAACATCCATGAAAAAATAAATCTGTGGAAGCCGTAGTTCTGTAAAAAGCACGACCAATCATTTTAGCCGGCCCGGCTAAAGTAACTGGATGGCCTACCTGCCTGTCAGCCTTCCATCTGTGCACAAACTTATCTCGTGCCCTCATTGGTCATGTGCGCGTTCGTGTGTGTTGGAGGAGGGGCTCTGTAAGGAAGTGGCAGATTTTCTCTGGTCGTGTATTTTCAAATTCTAGCGCACTCGAGCTGGTTTCTCAAACTTACATACCCTACCTTTAAACATTTGACTTAAACCTCTTGCTGTCTTGTGCCTGTCGGACTAACCTGTCCTGTGGTTATGTGGCGGGCTCGGCCCCAACAGGTTGCCGTGGCTGCAGCCCCGGCTGCCCATCTGCCCCGGACATCTGTCCTCACATCTGCTTCAGTGCGGACGGCCAGGGGACGGAGCCAAGGAGAGCCTCCCCTCTAACCGCTGTGCATTAATGTCCAGGATGCTTAGCCAATTAACAAAATGGCAATACCATTCTAATCAAAAAGCCAAGGCGATGCATTGACTGCCAGCATGGTGAAGGTGTCATTTATTTTGTATTATAGTTATAAATATTGTCTTTGTTCTCTCTGGAGTACTTTAACCTTGTAATGGCTCTTTGTATTCCTCAGGGTTAACCCAATGTAAAAAAGGTTGTCTGAATTGTCTATTCATTATACAATTATTTACAATTATCTTTAAAAGGCACTAGATTATTTACATGATATTATCCTAAGTATATAATTGAAATTATATCAATATTTCATGTTTATTTTATCCTTGGTGTGCTTAATTATGCCCTCTTCATGCTGGTGAAGAGACCTCATTCCCCCTGGTATAAACCTGTTAGAAATCCCAGAATGCTAAGCAGAAGGAGCAGGTTTGAATCTCTGGAAGAAGAATGTGTTTAGGGCTCTGAAAGGAAGCCTTTTTTCCACTATATGCTGCTTCCTTTTGTGGTTCTACTCTCAATTTTCTATGTCCTATTGTTCTTGATTTACATCCATGTTTTTTTGTGTGTTTTTTCTAGGGCTCCGCGCTTCAAGGGCTACCAACAACAGGACAGCCAGGAGCTTCTGCACTACCTCCTGGACTCCATACGAGTAGAGGAAACTAAAGTGAGCTTACATATATCATCACATCCACATGTAATAACTGTCAAAAGCCTAGCTCACAGGGTTTTTCAAGTACATAATGTATTAGGCTGGGATCTTTTGTAATGTTAAAGTTTCACTTTTTGTTCCAGAAAGGTGCTTCAAATCTGTACAAAGTACTCACAGTACTCAAGGTATTTGAGGTATCTTAACCAATGCATTTTGAAAGAAGGAAATGTGCTAAGTGAGGACACCTTATGTACTTTCTAAATCAGGTTATAACAAAGCTCAAGGTATTTACACATTTAAATGTAGGCTAAGGGACAGGAAATCTGTAAGCGGTTGACCAATCACAAAAGAGCTGGCCAACAAATCAGAGCAGGGTTAGGGAAAAGAGGTGCTGCAGCACAGGTAGTAAAATACATGCCTTTTTGAACATTAAAGTATGGAAACATATCTCAGTAAAGGCACAAAATAAAAATCTAAACCTCAAAATTAGCATAATGGGGCCACTTCAAAAAACAATCCAACCACTCTCTGTTTGTTTTGAAAGCCATTGTAGTCTAGTGTGTAAGACGTGCAGCTGTGTGTTTGTGAAGCTTTCACATAACCCGGAATCTTGTTTGTGCATGGCTCGCCAGTTTTTGTGTTTTAACCTTATGGTGCCATGTTTTTGGCAAGTACAGTGAACCACCCTCCCCCCGAAAACCCTTCACAGGGCAATTAGAAGAACCCACAGTAGCCCTTGTGCAGGGCTGAGCAGGCCCCTGTGGCCCCACTAGTGGCTGTGTGAACCAAGGAGGAGAAGTTGGCGGGTGTGTTTTAGTGGTCAGCCCCCAGACCCAGGAGGGGCTGCGGGCCGGGCGCCCTTGCTTCCCATTCAAACTTGTGAACGCCGACAGTTGTGCCACTTAGGGGACTTGCAAGTGGCACGACCGGCATCATTGTGTGATCTTGGGAAACCCACAGCTGCTGAATGAGCTCCAGGGCCGTCCCATTGTGCTTGAGGGTTACCCACAGCCCCTGCCTACATACACACACACACACACACACACACACACACCCACACACACACCCACACACACACACACACACACACACACACACACACACACACACACACACACACACACACACACACACACACATATACTCATCAGCCAGTCTCCCAATCCAATCAAGGCAGTAAAGAGGGAGGGGGGGTACGGCCTCCTCTATTCATTCACTCAGAAACTCATCTATACAGCCAAGCACATTAACAGATACAGTGGCATTTTAGCCGAGATTATTGAATATCATTTTGTAATTACCGCAAATATTAAACAATAACACACTTTTTAAATTAAGATCAAATTAATTGTATCAATGTTGTTAAAATTTAAACACTGGACAACATGAATTTTTTTATTTGACTAACAGCAATTGATCTAAACTTGGCGAAAAAAAAAGGCACATTTTACATTTTTGAGTACAGTCAAATATTTACACACCGTCTTGCGTGAGTGTGCAAGATAGGGAGACTGGTAGTATTCACAGAGGGTGTCACCAACATTTAGAGGCCCTAAGTGTTTGTGTTGATTGGCCATTAGTATCAGAGATCTAAATATGCTAATTTGGCCCCAGTCAATTATCACCAATTAGCTGAGACGTTAGGTATTTCTCTCTCAGGGCATGGACTGTCCTTCTTCGCCCCGTCTTCGTTTTAGTTTCCACCCCTGCACCCATCTACCAGCAAACCCTCTCCAACTCCCCCCTCCCCTTGGCCCATTCTGTGTGGGACAGTGCACGCTGTTACTTTATGGGAGGGGGGTAAGGGGGGTTACTGGTAATTAATTAGTAGGGGAGGGTTTGACTGCCGATTGCGAGGGGTGCACGCTGGCCCCGGCTAGGATTAACAGGACTTTTGACCTAAATAGCCAGTCCAGTGCGTGGGTCCCGGGACAATGGGGGCCCGACTGGTCTCGACCACAGACACAGACCGTGGCCAATTATCTATTGATTGCTGCTTTACTGCGGCTGTGCGGCTCTTCACAGCTCTGTCACCAACACACTCACTGACCACGTCACCTTCGATGAGAGCCAACAGCTCATAGACACACACAAACACGCACTGATAATTAAGACATTTAACGTTTCTCGACAGGCACAATAATTATTTTTACACTAATGATGCTTATAATATGTATACCTGTCACACTGAGCTGCGGGCTACATTTTGATATTTCACTAATGGATGTAATGGAGAGAAAGAAAAACACCCCGGAGTGAATTTAGATTTTTTATTTAATCATTTCGCATCTAGAAATATGATTTTTAGTCTGAATTGTTCTTTTACTTTTTGTGTGTTTGTTTTTATTGTGTGCAGAGGGTGAAAGCCGCAATTCTGAAAGCCTTCAACAATCCCACAGAGAAGACAGCAGATGAGGACACTAAACGCCAAGTTAAAGGTACTAACAGTTTACAGACTGCAGTGACATTGGCCAAGATCAATATCCCCATCTTGTGGCAGGTGATGGAAGTACAGCTCAGTTTTCAAAAGGCAAAGGCTGCAGAGTGTAGTCATTGTTGAATAAACCAAACAGACAATAATTCTAATTTGCAAGATGACAAAATGTGCCTTTGATGCATTTGGGCTCTTTCAAGTCCACACAATAAATCAGCCCAGTGCAGCACACTAAAACAGAGATCCGCTAGTGATGATGGCGGGAGGATGACGTGTTCAAAAATATGGTTACACTTTACAACGCTCATTGTCATAAGTGAAATAAATGTTCTATGTAAACCCTTACTAGCAATCACAGAGTAAAGTCAATTCTAAAAACATGGGTTGATGATTAAAGGTAAACATTTGTTATTCTTTTGCAGTAAATTAGTGTTTATTTCATTTGTTTTACATTCCCTTCATCACAACATTAGTCTATAATGATTTGTTAAAAACACTGCTATTTCTTTTGCAGTAAGAAATTGACTTTTTGAATTGAATTTTCAATAATACATTTGTTTAGTTTTTCCCTTAAAAAAATAACAAAAACTTGATAGTACTTGATCGATAAGCAGTAGTAGAGTAGAAGTACCGTTAAAATCTTAACTATACCCATCCATATCTGCATCTGTATGTTTTTTGTGCAAAGAAGCTAATAAAATGTTTCCTCTAATAATGACCAATATTTTTTACTGCAAGAAAATGATTCCTTAAATAATTCTATTCAAAATGATGTTTCTCTCTGCCACTAGCGTACGGAAAGGAAGGCGTGAAGATGAACTTCGTTGACCGCATCTTTGTAGGGGAGCTGACAAACACGATCATGTGTGAAGAGTGCGAGCATGTAAGTGTATGTTTCTGATCTATAGAGTAGTGTGTGGGAACCAATTAGGCGCAGCTCAATGCGATGCCCTAAATGAAACACATATAATGCACAGGGTGGTAGAGTAGGTTTATATACACTCATTGTGTTACCCAGTTAAACGTTGTAAGGAAAACCATCCTGTGTGGGATTCTGATTCCCACACAGGATGTACTGAAAAATAAGTGAGAGAAAACATACAATCAACAGGAAAAAGAAAACAAGAAAAGCCCCTCAAGGACCAGCTTGAACACCAACTGTTTGGTGTTTCGAATCATATTTGGGAGCTCCGAGTTTTAAACAAAGCAAACGCCACGTTGAAAACTTAACGAACATCCTTGAAGGAACAGAGCACCAGGTGTGGAGCTGGAGAGGAAAAAGCAACCAAAAAAACAATCACTCTTCTCTAAAAGCAGCAGAGGTTTGCTGTTAAAAACCCGACTATCATTTAGATTTGTTCTAAAATGGTGCTATATAAAAATCCTGGCAGGGACTAACATGTGATTTCTGTTTCAGATCTCCACAGTGAAGGAGGCTTTCATAGACATATCTCTACCCATCATAGAGGAGAGGGTGAGCTGCTACAATTGTTCATGAGAAAATGTGCAATTGACATTAAAGGACTTAACTTAAAGGGATAGTTCGGATTTTTTGAAGTGGGGTGGAATGAGGTACTTATCCATGGTCAATAACATTGATAATGGGCAGCACGTGCCCAGTTTTTAGAAGTTATAGATGAAGGAGTAAAGAAATGTACAGCTTTAGAGGTGGGAAGGATCAAAAGATGTAAGCCACCAAAACATTGTGTGTGCTATAATTCAAATATTTTAATCACTTTACCTTGCGAAAAAAAAACCCTTAAGACAAGGACCTAAATCAAATTTATAAACGATTTTTGGTGGAGCCAAAGTGCTGTCCATATAATAAAATTAGCCTACAGTAGAGACACTTTACAGCAAATACAATAGCACAGATTGTTCAGAATATCAGTATGAGAAAAACGACACCCTCTAGCCTTAGACCCTCTATCCTTAGACCCTCTGTCCTTAGACCCTCACATCGTACAAGGAAACACTTCCAGAGAAAAACCTACAGTTTAAGGGGAAAAATGGGAGAAACCTCAGGGAGAGCAACAGAGGAGGGATCCCTCTCCCAGGACGGACAGACGTGCAATAAATGCCGTGTGTAAATCGAAGAGATAATACATTTTACAGCATATAGACCGAATGTTAGGGAATGCATGTGTCTGTAATAAGAAGATGAAACCACGAGGATGTTAGCTACAATCCTGTGGAAGCCATCAGGGAAGCAGCATGACGAGACCCAAGGCAGGACCGCAGAGACAGGTTCAGCCACGACCCGAAGTCCACGACTTAATCCAGAACTCAGGATGGATGATCCAAGACACAGGACTACAGCAAGAGGATCAGCCTCGACTCCGGATCCCGGCGTAGATATAGATACAAAACAAGAAAAAAGATTTGGCTGGGTTAATCGGAACAAGAGAATACACAGACACAGACAGAGAGGGAAAAGGTCATTGGATAAAAGTTCTTCTTGATAACCCTCTAGAAAGATCTCGTGAACTTCCCCACTCAATCTATCAAGACCCGAGCAGTTCTATTAGATATAGGATAAGAAACAGAGATAGGGAGCACAACAACCTATCTCTTCGTCAGATGCACTCCCCCGCTTATCTAAGCGACTCTGTACCACGTTACCCTCTACAAGGCCATAGACCAGCAGAGGGAAAATGGGGGGTGGGTAAGGGTAAGGGTTTTTAAGAATAAACCGCAAGGGTCTAAAGGGAAAAAATATGAAATATAAGGTACTATATTTTAAGTAAACCTATCTACTATTCCTATATTCGAATAATGTATAAACTATTTTAAAAATACTTTATGAAATCCTATGTTATGTTATAAATATTAAAATAAAGAACTAAATAAATGAATAAATAGATAATTAAACAAAGCCAAAGAGAAAAAGTGAGTTTTAAGTGTTGATTTAAAAACCCCCAGGGTCTGGGCCAGCCGCTGCGAAAGCTGGATGCCCTCGGGTTTTAAGCCTGGTCTTAGGCACTACCAGCAACAGCTGATCAGCCGACCTTAAGGCTCTGCCTGGGGTGTAGCGATGGAGGAGTTCGGCTATATAGGCAGGAGCCAGCCCATTTAGGGCTTTGAAAACAAATAAAAGGAGTTTAAAATCTATTCTGAACCGAACTGGAAGCCAGTGCAATGAAGCCAGAATTGGGGTGATATGGTCACGCTTTTTATGGCCAGTGAGAAGACGTGCAGCTGCATTCTGAACCAGCTGGAGGCGTCTAATTGAGGCCTGGTCCATACCCACATACAGAGCATTGCAGTAATCCAGTCTCGAGGTAACAAAGGCGTTAATAACCTGTTCTAGGTCTTTAAAAGATAAAAACGACTTGGTCTTAGCCAATAGTCGTATTTTGACAAAACAGGTCTTGACTACAGTGCTAACCTGCTTATCAAATTTAAAAGCGCTATTGAAGGTCACTCCAAGGTTCATGACAGAGGGGAGGATATTTGTATTGAGGGAGCCCAGAATATCAACCGGGGAAGACTGTTGGTTGGGGTCCAAAAAAGATGACCTCGGTCTTGGTCTCGTTGAGGGTGAGGAAGTTTTGGCTCAGCCAGGATTTAATCTATATTAAGCAGTCCTTCAACTGCTGTAGTGAGTTGGCATTTTGATTGAGAGGCAGATAAATCTGTACATCATCAGCGTAACAATGGAAGGGGATATTATGTTTTGTGAGAATTGAACCTAGGGGCAGTATGTACAATAGAAAAAGGATGTGGCCCAGAATCGAGCCTTGGGGAACCCCACAGGTAAGAGGGGCTTTGGCAGAGGAGAAGGGACCTAACTGCACTGAGAAGCTACGGTCCGTCAAATAAGACCTGAACCATGCAAGGGCAGAGCCTGTAATGCCTGCAGACTGTTCAAGCCGTGACAACAGGATACTATGATCCACAGTGTCAAAGGCAGCAGTTAAATCTAACAGCACCAAGACAGCTGGGCTGCCTGAGTCGGTGGCTAAGAGCAGATCATTAAAAACTCTTAAAAGGGCTGTTTCAGTACTATGCATAGGTTTAAAGCCAGACTGACATTTTTCATGTATGCCATGCGTGGTTAAAAATTACTGCAGCTGGGCGTAGACTACTCGCTACAGGGCTTTAGATAAAAAGGGTAGCTGGGAGATGGGCCTGAAATTTGCGAGAATGGAGGGATCGAGATTTTTCTTTTTAAGTAGTGGCTTAACCACGGCATGTTTGAAGGCAGCTGGGACACATCTTGAGCTAAGAGAGGTGTACAAGCAATAAAACACTTGCTCCAACTGATTCAAAAACATCTCTAAGGAAGCGAGAGGGAATGCTGTCTGAGGTGCAGTTTGTCGGCCGCAAGTGCTTAACTACTTCCGAGAGAGAAGAGAGGGATACAGGCTCAAAATGGTCGAGGACAGCAGGGCACAGAAAGGGAGCAGGATCTGGGGTAGCACTAGTGTGGGCTAGCCTAAGAGCAGATACTTTTTCAATACAAAATTTAAGAAATGTATCGCAGAGAGTAGTTGATGGCACAATTGGAGAAGCATCACAAGGATTAATGATCGAATTGAGGACATTAAAAAGAACTTGAGGTTTATGGCTGTTTTTGGAGATTAACAGAGAAATATACTCTGTTTTGGCTGCTTTGACTGCCGTCTGAGAATCAGAAAGGCAAGCACGAAGAATTTCTAAGGAGACATGAAGTTGATCCTTTTTTTTTTTCTAAAGCCGTCATCTATTTTCTCTTTTAAGCCACCAGACTCCATTGACAAATATACTTATTTTACCTCACAGATCACAGGAATTCTTGGTTTACTACCACGATTGGAAAGCTTTCTGAAAGGGATAAACTGGTGAAAATATTCTAAATATAGTGTACACTTAAACTGAATTTTTAAAGGTGGTTTTGCTGCTGGCTTTTAAAAAATTGGGTATTTCCAATTGCCATCTATTGTAGGTTTTTAGATAAGTACATTATTTGACTTCAAGCCAAACAATCTAAACTATCCATTTAATGAGTAAGAAAATACCGCTTTTTGACAGATGATGAGATTAATTTGACGTATTGCATGTTCTCATGTTTTCTTTTATAAGAAAAGGCTATGCAATATTGTTTATGGTCCCCTTAAAACTGATGATTCATAATTTTTCGCCATCAGATGTCAAAACCATCCAACCCCAGTAGGCTAGGAAAGGTTGTCCGGGAGCAGGAGGCCCAGATGACGCACAGTGACCAGATTCAGTCTGCAGCGCACTCTGTCAACAGAAACACCAAGAAGCTGGGTGCACAGGTAGGGGGAGCAACTCTTATTGGATGTGAAACAAGATCCTTTTACCCTCAACACTAACATGTACAATTGATACTGCAGCTCTGAAGTGGACTAATGTATTTGTCCTTCTTCTTTTCTCTAGAAGCAGCAGAGCAGGAGGTCTTCAAGTTCTGTGGAAGAGAAGGGAGCAAGCTGCAGTTTGGATCGGCCGGAGGAGGAGGGCATAGCTGCTGGATCCGCCCGCGGGATCTCTGTTTGCAAGATGGCCGCCGCCGGCAGCCTATCAGACGGCAGTGAGAGAGACTCTGGTCCTCAGGACAGCAGCAATGACGCTGACAGCGAGGCCTCAGAGAGCGAGTGGGCCCCGCGCATCTCCTCCAGCCACAGCCACGGACACATGACCACCCCGTCGTCCACCTCCACCCTCACTCCATCCCCTACGCCCGCCTCCTCCACCTCCCCCTCGCCTTCATCCACAACGAAGCATGGCAGCGCTGTGGAGCAGCTAGTTACCGCCGTGTCCAAAGTCAACCTCGGCTTCACCTCCGGGGACTGCTCCCCCCCCACACACTGCTCTCCAGAGGAGGCCTCTAACCTCCACCATCAGCACCACCAAGGGGCGTTCCAGGCGCTTTCCCAAAGTTACACACCCAGCTCCAAGGAGTGCTCCATCCAGTCCTGCCTCCACCAGTTCACCTCCGTGGAGCTGCTGATGGGCAACAACAAGCTGCTGTGTGAGAACTGCACCGAGCGCAGACACAAACAGCTGCGCAAGAGCAGCTCCGCCGGTAAGACCAACGATCAAACTACTACCACAAAGAGCTTTGAGCAACCAAGTAGCCTACCTGCGAATAAATCATATTGTGCGGTTTAATTCCTTTTTTGTATTACTGTCTTTTTATTTAATTAGACTGCAATATTGACAAATGATCTTAAATTGGATTCTTCTAAAACAAAACAAAACATGACAATACAAATCCTCAAACGAACAGACTGTGAGAGTGTGGAGCAGAGTATCAGTTAAACCTGAGGCCCCTTTTTCTGAAATCAGTTCCATATTGGTGTTTGCAAACATCAGTCTCCCTATTTTCAAAATGAGGAACACTTAAGAATCTTACTTTTTTTGGTAATTGACACTTTCTATATTTCACTCTCTCTCTTTATCACTGACTCAATCCTTTTTTCCCAAAGATTCATGCGTTAGTATGAATGAATCGTAATTTCTTGTTTTCATTTCAATGTATTCTTTTGTTGCCTTTAGACAAGAAGATGGAGAAGATTTACACCAGTGCTAGGAAGCAAATACTCATATCCTCGCTGCCTCCTGTCATCACATTACATCTGAAACGCTTCCATCAGGTGATACACACACTGCCTTTTCTTGCCTTCCATTTAACGGAGCAGGTAGCGACATGTTGTATTGTATGCAGAACTCAGTGTGTATCTTTGTGACGGTGTGTGGTTCTCTTTTTTTACTTGAAGGCAGGAATGAACTTACGAAAAGTGAACCGCCATGTCGATTTTCCCCTGATCCTGGACCTGGCTCCATTCTGCTCGGCCTCCTGCAAAGTAAGAAATATTCTGTGTACTAGAAATTGATTTAGTTCAGTTTGTTTTGAATGTCCTTGGTTGGTACTGTCCCTGGAGCCCTCTGTGTATTCCCTTCTTTTTTTAGCTCTCTTTCCCATTTTTGCTAACCTTCCTTTTTCGTTTTCCCTAGAGCCTGGCAGCCGGTGAGCGTGTCCTCTACAGTTTGTACGGGATTGTGGAACATAGTGGATCAATGCGGGGGGGCCACTACACTGCTTATGTAAAGGTGCGCGCTCCCCAGAGGAAAATGGAAGCGCACTACAGGAACCTGTCAGGTCAGGGATTATCTCGTTTGAGCTGCTTCAAGACTTTTGATCTATGTTCTGTGTGTGTTTACGCTCTGTTGTATTGTGCAGCAAAGGTCTCACTCCATGCCACCAAAGATGTACAAAGTCCAGGATGAACAGAGGCTTTTGTGTTCTATATAATTCATGTTGTTTGTGTCATGATTCACAGTTTAGTGCTGAAAGGAAGTTCTCAAACTCACGGAAGTCTTTGCTGCGAACAAGTTCATGTAAAGCTAGACTGTGATTGCACCCATTAGTTGGTGATGATACACACAGTTAACTAATGCAACTTTCTCAACTGATAAACAACAACTGGCTAGAATAAACTTCTCCTAGTGCGTTTTTTAATGAAAAACGCAAGATCGAGTCATCTCAGTTTTATAATGATATCAGTTTAAGGTCGGTTTTGGCATCAAAATATACTTTAAGTATCAAAAGTACAAGTATTTGTTAAGCACAATGGCCCGTTTCAGAATCATGTATATGAAATAACTGATTTATGATCAGTGACACATTAAGCTGCTCTGGCTGATGTTGCCGTTTCTATGGAGAGAATGGTGCCGCCCAACTAGGCGCCATGCACCGAGCACTGCGCTCAAATGCAGCTTTAATGGGTTCATCACAGCTGGTAAAGATGGAGCTATTTTGAATGACTTGGTATACTATTGTTGGATATTCTCAGCTGTTAGTTTGTGTTAATGTTTTTGTATTGGTTTATTTTGGTTATTATCAGCTAATAATCTGTAACTAAAGATAAGATAAATGTAGTGGGGTATAACAGACAATATTGGTTTCCAAACTGCAGTGTAGTAAACAATGTAGTTGAAGTAAAGGAACCAAAACATCTTTCATTTTAATTGCATCATAATATAGCATATTTCTTTGTCCACCTTCATTACATTCCACCATTGAAGATATATTTATAGTTTTACAAATCCTTAATCATATCATGTAATCCTTACACTGCTGTATAAATAATCCTTATATTTATTATAGCACTTTTTCAATGACTCTCAAAGCGCTCCTTACAAATACACATTACACATACATATCATACATATCATACATACATGTAATGGTCATGTACTGTGGACAATACCCACAGGAGCAAATTCAGGTGAAGTGTCTTGCCCAAGGACACAACGGCCTGACGCAGTGGCGGCGGAGGCGGGTTTCGACCTGGAGTTCCCCAACTGTGGAACTGCGCCACCCCGCCCCTTAAAGATGCAACTCCTAACAACAAATGTACATCATTATGCCTGACTGAAAGACAGAGATACCCTAAAAGAAAGGATGATCTACGGTACAGTCAACGGTACAAAACAATTGCGGTAAACGCGACAGGGTCCCTGAGCATATAGTCATCAATGAGCACAAACAGTATTTGGCTGAATGGTCTGGTAGTATGTGAGATTATCTGCAGACAGACAGTTACAAGAGAAATAGGTACATGAAAGAAACGTTTATTTTTCCTAACAATTTCTGGGCTACAGAGCATCTCTAGCAGATTAAATCTAAAGTGTTTTACTGTATGTTCGAGTCACTAAAGCTGGGGTGACACACGAGGAGTTGAGCTGATTAAGTGAATGGTTGTGCAAGACGACTCGGCAGAAAACACATTTCGAACAAAGCAAAAGTAAAGATGCACACCCATGCAGACAGTTTACAGCACCCATATGACTCAATTCAGGATTGTCAACGTCTTTGAGTTGGTGCACTGATTTTGTTTGTGCCAGCAAACAGCAGTCAGTGTAAGTAATTGAATTCTACAACAGCTTCACCATTTAGCTGTGACGGTTTCGTATAACTTGCGTCATTGAGAAGACTCAAATGTTTCATGCTAGTATGGATGTCTTTCTTTTTTTGTTGGATAGTGTTATTTAAAGGGGACCTATCATGCTAAATGCACTTTTGTACATCTTTTATACATGAATATGTGTCCCCGGTGTGTCAGGGAACTCACCAAGTGTCAGAAAACACAACCCTCTCTCTTTTCCTCCATACCCCAAATCTCTAAAACGGGGCTGCAACGGATCTGATACAGACTGATACAGATTTGAATTGTCCTGAAGTCAGAAAAGGGGTGCTCCGCCTGTATGGGCAACCCTCCACCTATCAGGGGAATGGGGGGTTGGGCCACGAACGTGTCCGTTCACACGAGACCGCTCGAAAGCGCTGGAGACGCTGTAGTGCATATGCCAGGCCTGTAAGTGGCGCTGTAGTCACAGAATCAGCCCTTGCAAAAACAGGGCTGGAATAGAGCAAAATGAGGCATGGCTAAAATGCATGATCTGTTTGGTATTTTGAAAAAAAAACTTCACAGACTTGTTTTGTATAGGTATGGCCCTACAATAGACAGCTCATCCATATATATCTGGGGAAAATAGCTCACCTGGTAGAGCCTGGTGGCCCATGTCCTCGTACCATTTATGCATTTCATCCGCTCTTCATCCTGATTCAAAATTGAAATACATTTGAAAAAACTGCCATTAAAAGCCCAGCCCAGAGAATAGAAATAAAGATAACGTAGACAGGTATAAAATACAATAACTAAAGTTGCAGTGCATTGCATGTATGCAAGATATGAATAGTTATTTTATTTAATAAAATACAAATAAAAACAATAGAAAAATCTTCAGCCTTGATTTAAAAAGGCAAGATTTTCAGTTTTCTTAGAGTTTTGTATCCAGTTATATGGAGCATAACAAGTGAATGACTCTTTGAAGAACATGAAGTAGACGACCTGAGATATGGATAGTTTAAAGGGGCCCTGTTAAGCTCGTTTTCAGGTTCATTTATTTATTTAGTGTCTACTGAGACATGTTTACATGATTTAATGTTCAAAAAGCTCTTTATTTTTCTCATACGCATATGTTTTTTCATAGAAGCGTGAGTGTTACCAACTGATGTCACTATGTCGTGGAACTTTGAGATTTTAGCCTTTGCAGACCATTTACATGCACAAAAACCTTTATAACACAAAAAGCAGCATATGGCCCTTTTTAAATCAGCCCCACATAGCAAACAAATGTCTCAAAGGAGTGCCCTGTGTTTTGACACTGTGTGTGGTGTGTTTTCAGGTGCGAGGGATGCCGGCAGCAGCTTCCAGGGCCAGTGGGTGTACATCAGCGATACCACCGTTCAGACGGGTACCAGAGTCAAGGGTACTCAACTCTCAGGCATACTTGCTCTTCTACGAGGAACTCCTGTAATGTAAACTCCCTAAAAAGTATTTTTCCCTAGATCTCCTTTTGTTTTTGGTACACGCCTGTAAAACTCCTCATACTGTTTCTGTGAGAAGCTGGACGAAAGAAAAAGGGACTTTACACTTACTCGTCTTGGTTGAGGAACGACTGTCTCAATTGAAATCACACCTCTTAATATCTTACATATATAAAAGATAAACATTATGTTAAAGTGATTATTTTCTTATTTTCATTCATGTTTCTTACCCTTTAAAGAAAGGTCAGAGAAAAAGAGTATGACTGAGCCTGAGCTGTTCTAAGTGTATCGTCTATTTCTGTCACAATCTCGTGCCGGAGATACTCACTGCAAAAAGGAGGTTTTTTTACATGTCACAAACAGGAAATAAGCAGAATGATCGAATGCCAAACTGCATCAGCTTTGAGTAATGGATGGTAAGTGTGTGTGATGAGTGAATGAGTGAGTAAGAGACAGGAGAATGTAGGTCTTAGGTGCTATGTGTATCATTTCATTAACCATTACTAAGGTAAATGAGAATTAGCATTATAACTGGTGTAATTGCCAAACAACCATCAAGAAGAAGATGGGCATGTTTCAAAGAATCATCATACAGAAACAAATATATTTTATTGCATTGCTCAGATTTATCCCGAATTTATGTTAAAATAACTTAGATATTCTCTGAGATTCATGTGGTGAAATTACAACGAACATACATGAATATTCTCTGAGTGGTAAAAGTATGACAAAAATTCACAGTTTTCTTCCAAATTATAGCGGTTTTACAGTATTTATTTATATATTTGAATGATTGGAAATGTATTTACATTTATACGTTTTGGCCCCCCCAAAAAAAACAATTGATCATGAGTCTTACGTTGTGAAGGAATCAGAATGCAGGAAACAGCTGCAAAATGTAAACCATTTTATTGTGCAAACTATGCATACCACATAACAACTAACAACAAAAGCACTGTTTGGAAATGTAAACATATCCCCCCTTCTCTGAAACTGCAGTGCACATTTGAAATCCTTATCTTATGATTGACCTTCAAACTTAGGTTCAGAATAACGGGGACTTGTTTCACTGCCGCACCGCTCGAGCGCCCTTCGCCACTTTTTCAATGGTATTGCGGTATATGAAAATATCATATGGTATAAAGTTCACAGTATTCGGTATGAAACCTTATATAACCCAGCACTAGGTAAAAGCTCACAAATGTACTAGAAAATAACCTGAATATTTCTTTAGATTAAAATGTAAAATTTATGACTAAATCCTATTATTTGATTAAGTCATCTTCTGACAGAGTTAATGTGAAATAAATGCGAACATATAAGAAACTTAAACCTAATAATACAGCACCAAAACGGCTACTTATCATATTAGCTGATAATGATAACAAGATTATACAAGTTTACATCAACATAGTGGTTTAAAATGTTACACATAGCACCTTTCTAAGAACAGCACAAGTTATTTTACAGCCTCATTTTAAAGGATTGTTATTTTGTTTACATCAGAATGTAAAAATGTAAGACTATCAGTAGATTACATTTGCCAAAGACAAGTTTTGCGACGGAGTTGGAGCAGAAGAACCGAACACACGAGGACTTCACACGCTTTCTTTAACGTCAGTTAATCCAAGGTCCTTGAGTGTTGCACAAAAAGAAAACATACTCAATGTTTGTCAGACCAGCCGAGCAACTTGTGTGCCTTCATTGTACGGTACTTCTACTGTGTAGGCGCACTCACAAACCTATTAGGATCAACAAAGAAGCAGTGACTATCCTTAATACTTTAACAAAAATAACCATTCAAAAAAACACAATCTTAAGACTTATCTATAAAAAAAAACATTGTTGCTGTAATGTGCATGGGTAAATGTTCTAAATGAATGTATTCCTGAAATGTCTGTCAAATGAGCTGCTTATCTTTTTCTATGGAATGATAGGAAATGGAAAGGGTTGTTCATCAGTTTCCCATTCTTTTATTTTGAAAAACTAGAACTCAGTGCCTGTGCTTCAGGTTAAAGAAACTCATGCATGGTGAGAAGACGAACATATGTATCGTGAAATGCAAAGAGGGATATTTATGTACAGTATAACTGTAAGCAAAAACAATAAGGAGGTATATGTAGTTGTTCATACAATACAGAATCATGGTGCTTTAGGCGTGCAGGGTTTTTCCTCGAGGCAAAGTTTTGTTTCCATTCAATTTCAATTATGAGACATTTGGAATGAGTATAACGACATACTGTATCAAAATAAATCTAATTTATGAACTGGATATTCTCATGTTTCTATCTGTGTTGAGAAGGGGGGACGGTTTAGCTGTTTCTGTTTTGGACTTGATGTCATTTTGTTGTTACTCGAAGCGAGATGTTGTCCACCACCACCGCTGTGGGCTGTCGCCCTGGATCCAGCGGTGCCATATTCAACCCATCCTCGCTGGTGATCGGGCATGACGGGTGCAAAGCAGCACTGCTTCAGAACATGTCGCGAGCTGGTGAAGAGGAGGTGGGTGTGGAATCAGGAAAAAGGGCAACGTCCAAAAACATCGCCCTCCACGTCCTGTTGTTCCCACACGCTGTGACATCTGAGGCGCTACGTTAAAACAGGTTGTCAAGCCGCCACCAACAAAAAGAGCAAATCTTTTCTGAAATGCATTTGTCTATTTTTACAGCACAAGGGAGGAAGGGGGGGGTGAGATGGCTTTTGGCTCGGGGACATGCTGCTGATGTGATTTAATCTCACTTAATGAAAGGCACCCTCCCCCTGTGTACAAAGCAATGCTGGATTGCTCATTACTGCACCTATCTACCAGCAGCAGGGTTACATTGTGCTGATCTCACCATGCACACCATCGTCACTGTCAGTCTCACCTCGGTTGACACCATGTCACACACACACACACACATACTGTGCATCAACACATTTCCCTCATGCAAACAGCCTCACCAGCCTGAGGCTCTGCTCCTCACAGTGCACACACATCAGCGCCATATTAACACCAACACGGCACAAGACAGAGCACTGACCAACACCTGCACATAGCCCTCTCCTACAACAGAAGATGTGTTCAATCATTTCAGGTTTTTAGGAAAGTGGTGGCAACCATTCAGAGCTGCTGAGCAACCGGACATCAAGCACTTCAGCTAACAGGGTTTAATTTGTGGCTGTATTTTTGCTGGAATACTTTAGAATGTACCCAACACATGCTTAGTAAATGCTGCCCTCTACTAATTAAGACATATGTTTGGCTTTTAGAATTGCAGCAAATGGCTAGATTAACCAGAATTTGACCCTTAGTTAGCTGCAGGGAAATTCCTTTTTGATGATTCATAAATTAAGTTTACCTGAGTATTATTCACCATATGAATTAAAGAGAATATACAAATAAATAAGGGTGTCGAGGTGGTCTCTGTTTTTTAAACCGTTGTTGGAGGCCCTGTGCTCAAATCCAATGGTGGAGGAAGTATGTAAATCATTTCCTGAAGTTAAAGTATAAATACTATAAAACACAACACTGCAAGAACTGCATTCAAAGCCTTACTTCGGTGAAAGTATGTATTATCAATCAGCAAATGTACATGTTTTAATTGTGCAGTATAATGTTCCCTGTCGGTGTATATATCCTAGTAATGATGTTTTTGGATTATTATTATTACTACTGGATTAGCGTATACTGCATTTTACTGTCCAAGGTTGTGCTAATTGTAACTCCTTTATGTAATGTTGTATAGTTACGTCTGCAGCAATGCATCACACTCTACACACAATCATCATGTGTGTAACTTTGTTTCTGTCCTGTTAAAATCATGTTTCTCTGAAAGTTCAATTCTTTATGAGTTTCTCAGAAAAACAGGCCAGCGCTTTTCATTTTAATAATTCATCCTTCAGTTAAAAACATTCAAATCAAAATCAAGATTTTTGGTTATCACTAGACCGCAATGGGATGTAAAACTAATCTGTAAAGTGACTAAAGTCGTCGTGCTCTGCTATCCGTGGAATCCCCGCTCTGGAATACCCCAACTGGGCTCCTCTCTGCCCCGCTCCCTGGACTACCCACGGGCCACGAACCCTCCCTCAGTCCTGCCATCTCAAGTGGGGGGTTTCCATCACCGCTGCTGAGGTTCGAGGTCCGGTTTCTACCAGGCTAATGGTGCTAGCTGCTAGCTGGCTCGCTGTTCTTCCTACATGCCCTACCCCGGAGCCTGCGGTCTTCAGACTCTGGCCCCCCGCACCAACCTGTGAACCTTCGGGGATAGAGCCTTCAGTATGGCAGCCCCCACTCTCTGGAACGCTCTCCCTGCGGAGATCCACAACATCCCCACACTTGTCGCCTTCAAAAGGGCCCTCAAGTCCCATCTGTCTGCCAAGGACTTCGGCCCCAAATCTATTTGTTGTTTTGTCTGACTGCCTTTTGTTATGTTATGTTTGTTATGTTTTTTTATACTCCTGTTCTTCCTTGTAAAGCGACCTTGGGTATTATGAAAGGCGCTATAGAAATCCAAGTTATTATTATTAAAGCTGTACAAGTACATCTACCTCTGAGATTAAGTGGAGTTGAAGTATAAAGATGCATTAACTTTTAATTGAACTATTCATATCTTAGACTGTAAATGTTATCACTGTAACTTTTATCCATGTATTTTTTCTTTTAATGTTTATTTTATTAGCTTTTCTTTTTAATGACTGATTTTAAATATAATTTTCTTAATGTCTTTCATTTTTTGTAAAGCACTTTGAATTGCCTTGTGTTGAAAAGTGCTATATAAATAAACTTGCCTTGCCTTGCCTTAACTCAGTGGTTCTCAAACGTTTTCGGTCAGGCCCCCCCTTTGGAAAAAAAAAACGTCGGGCCCCCCCCAACACAAATAGTCAGGCTCAGTGGCGGCGCCAGAGATTTATTTTTGGGGTGCTGTGGGGTAGCTTGACCTTTCATAGAGCGTGCTCAAACATTTAGGGTTTCCCATTAATGTACCGGTCGCTACAGTGGAATTTTCTACTGCAACACTCCCCACGCACATACACTATGTACCCGCGACTGTTACAATGAAGGCTCGATATCAAGTCTCGGCATATAATAATAATAATAATAATAATTCATTTATTTTATATATGCGCCTTTCAAGGCTCTCAAGGTCGCCGTACAAACACATAAAAAACAAGATACACAATACCTAACACCACTATAGGTGTAAGCAGGGGTAAAGTGCTATTTTTATAGGTGGTGTGTGGACCTCACATAGGGGGGTCCGGGGGCATGCTCCCCCGGGAAGATTTTTAAATATTGAAGTTGAAAGCATCAATCTGGTGCACTTTGAGAGCAAAATGAAGAGATCTATGGATACATCTCTCAACACCCAGATGAAACAGAATTGTAAACAGATTTACTTTTTCTTTATGGATATTTTATAAATAACTCTTTTAAACTTTATTCTTGTTTTACTGTCATATAGTATTTCATAGCTGTTTTTCATGTATTCTCTTATTGTTTTATAACTATAATGATCATATAAACGTGTGTCTCGGAAATAATTGTTTACATTAATGGTGACCAAAACGTTTTGAGACCCCACTGAGATAACACTGTGAGAGAGTCCTTTAGCTCACTGAGTCTCTCAGTCTGACAGGAGAGGACTCTCCTCCCACTTTGTTGTTGAAAAACTCCTTATATCCGTTAGCGTAGCTCGCTAGCACCAGAAGCTAACATCAACGATCTCCGGTACCGGTGCGCTATCTCTCTCTCTCGCTCACGCACGCACACAAAATGGCTCGTTCCACACACACACACACACACACACACCACACACACACACACACACACACACACACACACACACACACACACACACACACACACCACACACACACACACACACACACACACACACACACACACACACACACACACACACACACACACACACACACACACACACACACACAGAGCCGAGCTTTAATGAAACACAGAGACCCAGACGTAATAGTACTGTATCATATTATTTTCGAATCAATAATTTTTCAAAATATGATTTTTTTTTTTTTTTTTTTTATAATCTTTTTTTTTTTTTAATAACCATTTTTCCTCCTGGTCTCTCGCGCCCCCCCTGTCATGCCTCTGCGCCCCCCACTTTGAGAACCACTGCCTTAACTTGAAATACTCAGATAAAGTACAAGTGACTCAAATGTGTTTGTGTAATTAAGTACCGTACTTGAATACATTAGTTACATTCCATCACTGAAATATAGGCTACTATAGTTTTGTGATTAAATTACCAGTAGGCCTACAACTTGTAAAAAGTACGGAGTATCAGTACTTTACACTACTGATATTGTACTTAAAAGTAAGCTCGGTAGCATAAACTTTAACCAAGTTAAATGAAAATGACAAACGGACCAAACCAAAATACAACAATCTTTCATTTCCTAAATCCTTTAAGGAAACATTATAGAACTAACGGTATGTTACTAAGAACCATTGGGAAAAGATTATACCTAATAATAAATATTATTATTGAGCTGCAAGGTTAAGGACCCCTGTGATTATACTTGCCAGTTTTTCTCTCGCCAAGATCTTCCCTGAATTTTCAGCATTATGTCTGTAAATATTTAAGGCCAACTGGGTCATGCAGACATGCTGAGGGTCTGTTGCTTTACATCATTGTTAAAGGTGTGAACTATATTAAATGTTAAAATGGAAATAAATAAAATACAGTTGTTAGTGTACGTTGAATTTAAGTCTTTGTCCAAAGAAAATCTGGTTCATTTAAATTGCATACATTCACTATTTTGTGCGCGTGTCTGTGGTCTGTGACCTTAGTAACTGCCGTCATCACCTAATCAGCATCTGAATGTCTCACGGCCTCTAGATGCCTTTAAGGGCTGCTCGTACATTGTAATTCTTACTGAAAAAACACACGACGAATCACAACCACAAATCTAATTTAAGTCGTTGGTCAAGAAAAAAATTGCCCCATAAAATAAACCAAGACCGGCTAAAAATGGGTGAAGGCAATACATCCATTAGATGCGCTGTGTTATTGGGGGCGATCTATGTAAATAGGTTTTATATTGTCATATTCCTGACCGCCTATGAAGGCAGCAGTGGAGCCTCACGTTCCACACTTCCTTCCTCCGAGCTGAGCAGTTCACTGGTGGTGCAGCCATTTTGACTCTGAACCGTAGCGCTGGAGAGAAACTGTCTGGAAAAGGTGGGGATTATGTTACTCTAAGCAAAGCGCTCATATATGTTTACTTCGTACTTTCCCTCCAGTGTGTTATCTATTTATATTTTAAAGCACATTTGTTCACACGGTATAATAATAGTGCTAGTATTATTTAGCTTTCGTGATTAGCTTAGCTCACGTAAGCTTGCATTTAGCTCCACAGGCAGCTTCAGAGTTTGGGATTTCACTGGCCCAAGTTTATTTCAGTATCATGCGTCAGTGTTGACACGGAGTTATCCCATGCTGCATAGCGAGGGTTTCCAACTCTAAACAGCACAAATGACTTGCAGCTAACCCATGTTGCTAAATACAGCTAGCTGCTTAGCTACATGTAACGTTAGCTTTCATCTTATAGCTAACACTCGCTCTTTCTGGCCAGTAAACGCAGTGTAATGTTACTGCGCACAAACTGCAGCAGCTCTAGTCATGTCAGCAGAAGTGATGGCGATGGTGCAAATTAAAATGTAACTAGCTGGCCTGTGCATTTCAGGTGTAAATCCAGAAGAGAGTGATGTGGGACCAGGGAGGACAACCCTGGCCGCAGTGGCCCCTGAGCCAGCAGCAGTGGATGCAGTCTTTCCAGCACACGCAAGATCCAGGTGAGTGAGCGATGCAAATGCACCGTGAGAATATTTTTCTGCAGAAGATCTGAGCCTCTGCAGGGCTTCTTTGCACAATAGACCAGTAATACCTTCTGTCTGTATGCAGGTCAAGTGGACTGGGCTGCCCTGGCACAAGCATGGATAGCACAGAAGGAGACGACAGGACCAGAGCAGCCCAACATTCAGCCCAATGGCCAGGACATCCCAGGCCTTGAACCAGTTGGGCCGGGCAACCATGGGGCCTTCCCTGGCGACCCGGCATTTGGCAGAATGTGGCAGCCAGGTACAATTGTAACCCCATGAATGGTATCAAGTAGGGATGATACGGAAAGATATAGGACTTTTTGGTTGATTATGATCAAAACACTTTGTTGTATTCCCATTATTGGGGTTGTTGTGGTCGAGCCAGCCTTGTTTAACTAAGAAAAAATACAACATTTATCATGCAAGAAAGAACAGATGCAAAATGTTGCATTAATGCTGGGGAACCTTGTGGTGTATGATTGGTTTATGTAAGAATACTTTTTTGTTCCCCGAAAATGTGTGTTGCCTAGAAAATACACATACACAAATATTGAGTCAACACAATGGAAGATACATTCATTTCAGTTTGTCAGTGCCATTTTAAGCTTGTTTTTTTATGATACTCTGACTAATATTGAATTATTCTATCCAGGATAATCGTGATGAAACTTTAACATTGTCCAATGCCTCATAGCAAGTTTCTATTTTTACATATTTTCTGTGCTACAGCTTACTGTTATTTATAAGGCGAAAGAGAATAAGGTGATTTGTGACTATTCGTGATCCCTCATGTATATGACTTTAGATAGACAGCTGGATACCAAGTCCCTCTTGTTCAGACGTTGAGGAAAATCTCCAGAGTTGTGTTTTTATTGTTACACATATATGTCCGTGTTGCTTTGGCTTTTGTTTATTACTTCTGTTGTCATTACCAGAATGGGCAATGCATGGCCAGCCCCCTCCTCCTCCACCCCCTGAACAGGCCTGGATCCCCCCTGGCTCAGGGCCGATGGATGTGGTGAACCCCAGCGAGGACAGCAACAGCCAGGACAGCGTGGAGTTCAACTCTGAGGCCCACCACGGGGTTTACCCCCAGAACAGCCATGGGTATGGGGCACAGCCCGACAGCTACGCCATGGCCCCCATGGCCATGAACCAGTTTGATTATCAGGTATGCAGATGCTACAGTAGGAACTGTTGAAGCGTTTGGGTTTTAGTGTGACAACCAAGTAACACAAGAAGGAGCAAATCCATAGAAACAGAGCCGGGTCCCAGCATCTAGGTGTATCAGTCATTGCTTTCTTGATGCGGTGCAGAGGAAAGTGTTGGCTTGTTGAGGATCCAGCATGGTTTGGTATTGTTTATAAGCTGCTTTTTATTTTACATTTTGAACTAAACAGACATTTTAGCCCAGTCAGTAGTGATGGATGAATGTCAGCTAACCTTATCTGGGGAATAAAAAAACAACACTCAGTAGATGAGAGAGGACCTATTGTACTTTGAACTTCCTTTTTAATTTTCTATTTGTGCGGTCTCTCCACAGCATGGCGCCGCCTCATCCTTCGCCCCCGCACCCACCAACTTCCACTCCCCATACTGGCAGGGTCCTCCTCAGAACAGACGAGATGTCAGACCCCCCGGCTTCAGGGAGCGCCCCAGATCCCCCATCCAGCTTCCTGTCAAACAGGAGGTCGCAGCAACATTAGGTGAGTGTGTTTTCCCTTTAAGAATAGCCAGCCATCACATTAAGATGATCAGCTAGAAGACTGCTTGAGGTGCAGTTTGTGTGTAAACCTCACGTCTGCTTTGTTTTTTGTAACAAAAAAGAATGCTCCTAATTTAATTACAAGTAGTTCATTGTACTCGCACTTAGTTACGCATACCAGAATAGACATGAAGTACTTTTTTAACATTTTATTATGCACGGCTAAAAATGAACTATAGTTTAGATATTTTGTCTTAATGGCCATCCCCATACCTCTTTGCACTAATGAATGTGAACTACATAACTGACAGTAGTCAAGTAGTAGTAAGTCAAAACACTTGAGTAGTAATCCCACATTCTAAACATTTTTAATTACAAGTGAAAACTACTTGATTAAATGTTTTTAGAACAAATGGCTATAATTGTAGTGTTAATATATCACAGTTCAGATCAGGAAACTGTCGGCACGGTAAAAAGGAATCTGTATGATGTTGCAAAGATGTGTTGGTTTCTGAATCTTAACATTGCAGTATGTGGAGGACTCATTTTGACCTTCATGTCACCTTCAGATGCGGTAAAGAGGCGCACACTACCTGCCTGGATCCGAGAGGGCCTTGAGAAGATGGACAGGGAGAAGCAGAAGAAGATCGAGCGAGAACAGATGGAGAAGGAGCGCGCTAAAATGACAAAAGACGACGCCAAAGAGCGCGAGGTCGAGGAAGGAGGCGACGGGCCACGAGTGCCCCGCAAGAGCAAATTTGTAAGCAACACGTTTCTGCCATTGACATCAAAATGATTTCCTTTTGAAAATCACTTAACACTTTGTTTTTCTGGCAAAAGTATCATTTGCATCACAATTTATGCACGTTGTTAAACATAATCCCTTGCTCCTGTGTCCATCAGGACAGCGACGATGAGGGGAATTATAACAATGACGATGAAGAAAAGCCCCTCCATCAAAAAGAATTTCTGGTCGAAGCCCGTCACCTGCTGCAGAGGACAGCGAACCTGAAATGACGGAGGAGGAAAAGGAGTTCCAGCTGGTCAGTTTGATCTTATTCTGCATCTCAACAGTTGTAGTTGCCTATTCTTCAAAGAGATTGATATACAAATAATGGATTTTGTTTTTCTTCTTAGATGTTTATCACAAAAACCCTTCTGACAGAGATCCTTCTCGAGGTCACCAACGAGGAGATCCAGCATGTGGCCAGAGAGACGCACCGCAAAGCCACTCGAGGTCTGCTCTTGTTTTTTCCACTTTTACTTAATCTATACTTGTCACCAAGACATTTGTTGTTCAAATCTGAAGAGAATCCAATATGTGCATAATAATCTCTTTAAAATGGACTCCGTAAGGCCCTGTAAAGTAGGGCGGTTGAGCGGCAAACTTTGGAGTATGTCTGAAATTCAACCATTCTCTGCTAATGCATCAGAAGCAGAGCACAGAGCTTTTCACAAACAGTATTTCTGGTTCACGGTATTAAAGGTCCTGCTGAAAGACTCTATGATACGAGTGAATAATGTCTGAGCATTGAATCTGACCAGCATCCACGTTTTAGATACAAGACACTTCCTCCACTGAAGTGACTGCATTAGTACAGATTGGTTCTTCCCGCTTGTGCGACTGTTTGACTTGGATTGTGTGACAGAATTTTGTTTGTTAACCCTCTCTCTTTTCTCCATTTTTTTAATTTATTTTATTTTGTTTTTGTCATTTCTGTTCTCTCTTTTTCACCAATGGCAGCTCTTGTGAATAGTTATCTGTGACCCCCCCTCTTCTCTAGCGACTCTCTTGAGAAAATGGCTCTGTGTTTTAACATGTTGTTCCTGTTGTTGATGTGAATCAAAGCTCCTGCAAAACAGCTGGCACAGTCAAGTGCATTGGCTTCTCTGACTGGTCTCAGTGAGTATCCCTTTTTCTGTCACTGGGGGGCGGGATGGAGAATATATATTAATTAAATGGCGGGGTTTTAGAAGGAAAACAGGAGAAACTTAGACCATAACACCCAAAATACACTTGATTGATCGAAGTGAAAACGTTGTGATGAGAAGCATGCTCTTCATCACAAAGTATTCTTATGCAGCTTTTCTTTAAGGGATATATGTTTACATTTGTTTTGAAGGGGTTAATCAGTGTGTAATATACTGTTCTTAAGGATTAAGTGCCTTCCATTGGGGACCTTGGGTTGGGATTAAGGGCTTTATAGTGAAACCTACTTTTGAGAATAAATCTTCGTCCATACCAACACTCAACCACCCGGGGGCTCTGTTGTGGCAGGTGGGCTCGGTGACTACGGTTCAGACGAGAGCGAGGATGAGGATGAGCGCAGCGTTCGAGGGTCCGAATCCTCCGACACAGATGACGAAGAGCTGCGCCACCGCATCCGAGAGAAGCAGGACGCCTTCCGCCGCAAGGAGCGGGAGGTGCAGCAGCTGCAGGACAAACAGGCGCAGGACGCTCTGCTTGCACGGGGTAAGACATGTTTGTGTCTTTGCAGGTTTGCATAGGCATTTCAGGAAGGAGGGAACGCTTCCTTGTACGCTGCGAGGGTCTAAGGACAAAGAGTCGTATACTGTGCACACTGCAAAGCCCCCGGAGACACATGTGCTATATAAATATAATTGGATTCATTCATTTTCACTAAATAGTCATCTAAAGACAAAGGAACTAATCGATTATTTGAAGTTGCAAAAATGTATTCTTTGCAAAAAATTAGTTTGACCAGGTCATAAAAGTTAGTGCTCTATCAATCTCATCTTGAATAATGCAATCATAATTATTGTAAAACTGTGTAGTTTGTTTCATGACATGATGTTTCTTAGTTTATTTTTAACCTGAGTTTTTGTTTGTTTTCACAGAAGAGATGGTGAAGGAGAGATTGAGCAGAGAAAAGGGGGAATATGATGAGGGCCAGCCAGAGAATACGCACAAACAGGAAATGAAAGAGACAAAGGCGGAGCCCTTGGTAGAAAGGCGTAGGTCCCGTAGTGAGAAGGAGGGTAGCGAGAGCAAGCCCCCGGGCAGAGGGACGGAGCGGTCAGGGCGAGGCGGCAGCAGTTCACCGGCCAACGGTCACAGCAGCAGCTCCCGCTCCACCTCCAGCCACAGCAGCCGCCACTCTTCCTCCTCCTCGTCTTATTCCTCCTCGGCATCCTCCCGTAGTTCATCACGATCCTCCTCCCCGCGCAGGAAGAGGAGGCGCAGCCGCTCATCCTCCCACAAGGCTCGCAGGCGTAGCCGCAGCTCCCACCGGCATCGCAGCGTGAAGGCCAGGGAGAGGAGGAGGAGCAGCGCAGAGAGATCAGGCCGACACAAGAAAGATCACAGCGAGTCCAGGGAGCGCAAGAGCCGCAGGAGTAGATCCAGATCCAGAGAGCGGGACAGGGCCAGAGCCAGGGCCAGAGACAGCCGCAGCAGAGAGAGGGAGAAGGAAAGGGAGAAGGAGAGGAAAAGGAGTCGGGATGGCAGAGATAGCAGCCGTAGCAGCAAACACAAGCAGAAGGCCTCCAGCAAAGACAGGGAGAGAAAGAGGGAAAGGAGTCATAGCCCCGAGAAGGACAAGAAAAAAAAGGAGAAGGAGTCAGACAAAAAGAAAGAAAAGCCTAAGGCCAAGGAGAAGGAGAAGGAGAAAGGAAGCTCTGCAGTTACAGAGGAGAATGGCAAATCTAAGAAAAGGAAGGAGAGCGACTCGTGCACGGACTCTCAGAGTGAAAAGCACTCCCGGCAGGAGAGCAAATCCAGCAAGAAGGGCTCCGTTAAAGCTAGCAAGAAACGCTCAGACTCCGACTCAAGTAGGTCCCTCACCCCTGAAGTTAGCAAGGAAAAGAAATCTAAAAAATCTAAACGTAGTCGCTCAAGGTCGACGGAAAAGTCTCACAAGTCTGGTAAGAAGGCAAGCCGCAAACACAAGTCTAAGTCGCGATCAAGGTAGTATTCTTTTTATTCCCTTTCTTTCTTACTGTATGTTTTTCATTGTATGTCTCATTGTGAATTCTACAGTCATTTTTAATTAGTATTTTGTAATAACTTTAAAAAGGAAAATTGTTGACTGATGTTATGAAAATGTACTGTCAACTGCAGTCAAATCTGCTTAACATTGTAAAGTCTGCAATAAAGTTTGTAATGCTTCATCTGTGTGTTATCTATCATCACATTTGTTATTTCTGAATTTCTAACAAGTCACATGATGTCTCAACATCCTAAAGCCAGTTTCATCTTTTTGTAGCAACTTGTTAAGATATGAAACCATTTGTTGCCTTACACTGTGCACTGCAGGGTATATTTGCTTCTCTAAAGTCTGCAGAACATTAGTTTTTCTGGAGGGTACAGAATGTCTGGTGGGTGGGGGTATCTGGGCATGTTTATATGTTGTAGTCTGCGTGGGTACGTGTGATTGGTGCAGTATTAATGTTGTGTCCACGCTCTCTTTCAGGTCAACTTCCCCCTCCCGTCGTAGCAGACGTTGAGGAGCACGGTTAACCCTCCTGATCTGTGCACTTTACCATTTTAAATTCCATGAGTTGAACAGGCTTGTCTCATTATAGAGGCAATTGTGTAGGTGAACCCCCCCTCTCATACACACGTCTTTCATCTTTGTAAATATGTTGTTATTTTTTAAAAGTGACTGAAGAACAACTTCAAACTTTTTGAATGGTAGGAGTTTTCACTTGTATCATTATGCAAAGCTTAAGCTCTGTGGACACTAAAAAGCTAAAGTTGTATCATTTTAAAAACCGTAACAGGATTAACTTTTTTTTCCTCAAAACATTATTGTAATATGTCCAATAAAACTGTGTGTTCCTTGTCTCGCCTTGCTGTCTTTTCTTTGTGCTACTTATAATAACACCCTCCCACACACCCCCCACCCTTTGAAAACACATAAATTGCTCAGTAACTGTCTCCACATACAGGTCAGGGTAGGTCCACTATATGCTGGCAAGTGGTTTATTTTATTGGAAATTATCCACTTGGAACTACTATCCCATGTTGAAGTGTTTGTAATTTAACACAAAAACACATAAGTCAGTCACCTAGTAGGACTTCCTTTGAGTTAAATATGGTTATTACTCGAGTTGGCGCAGTACATGGTTCTGAACCACTCTTGTGAATGTCAGTAGGGATCACATATCACCAAGCACACGTCAGTACCGTTGAACGGGTCTCTTCTAAAATGTTGCTGCGTTGCAGGTGCTGCCATAAAGCTGCAAGTCCTAGGACAGTGCCTCAAACTGAGAGTATGCTTAAGGCTAAGCTAACATAAAGCTAGAGAAGCAGCAATGATAAAATGACGGTGGCTTTTATGAAATTCGTTGGTTATGAAAGAACCCTTACATTAAAATAGCCACTAATAATGAATTACTGAAATAAATTACAAACGCAACCAATGACAGTCTATTTGTTTCCAGTCGGTAATATTTCATTGTCTGACCAGTAGGAACTAAAGTGTGTGTTGTTTCTGCCCGGGGAGAAAAGACATGCGCACAGTCGGTCAACTCAAGTGCAGTCAACAAATGTTCAGAAGCTAGCTGTGAACGTGTGTTATGACAGCATGTACGCGAATAAGTTCGGTCGCCTCATGTTCGGGCTGTACAGCCGGAACACCGCCGCTGTGTGTGGGGTGGTCCAGGCCCAGAGAGCGGGAGGACGGAGCGGGTTCAGCTGGACGGCGGTGTCTAGACAGTGGACACTGTGGCTGAGGAGGAGCACCTCTCTGGAGAGCCAGCACCACACCGTGCCCTGTCACATGAGGTAGGCTGCAACACCAACATCACAGTACAAGAGCCACTTTGTTATTGTTATTGTTAGCGTACCTTAACATGTCACAGTTGCAGCCAGGGGATATGTGTTAAACTGTACCAAGGGTAAATTGGTTAAAGCTCCCAAAGGAAATAAAGGTCAAAAAGTGTTAGTTATTTTATTTACTCAAAGAGTTGCTATAACTCAACTAAATGTGTTTAAAGGCTTGGATGGGCAACAAGAACAATGGTGTTAACCAACAGTTGCTTTTATTAACCATTAACTGGGGGATTTACATTTTTGATTAATCGTTTCTTATGTTACATGCCAGAACATTCTACAGAATCCCCATTTCTTTAGCTTGGACCACAAGCTGACCTCAGAGGGTTTGTGTTATCCAACCAACAGACCAAAGCATAAGTAATATGCAGTCATATAAAAGTGAGACTGCTTACATCTGAGAAGCTTAAACCAGTAATTTCCACATTATTCTTCAAGTTGACTAATCGACTTGTAATTTCACAAATAATTCCAATATGCCACACATTTTAGCAAGGATGTTTTAGTCCAAGATGTGGAAGTGCAACCTCAGCTCCATTTGTTATAAGACCATAACAGACTTTGTTTCCAAAATATTCAGAGGATAAAAAACTAAAAAGGCTAAATTAAAACCACAGTGTTTGAATCCATTCAACATAATATTATGTGTTTACTAAGGTTTGGGGCAAATACATGCAATTTGTTTGCTGCTGTATTATTAATTATGTTGCTATCATTGACCCCCTAAGCATTTAGTTTACAGCTCACATTTAAATGGTTCAGAGTTTGAAAGTGAATGAAGGTTTTGTCGTTTAAGTTTAATTATATTGATATTTAGTATTTTTAAAGCCTTGTGGGACTGGGGCATTTCTGTTGTCCAATACAAAAAAACTAGTTTGACTTTTTCTTAAAAATTAGAAACTTATATCAAAACTGTATAAATAATACCATTGTTGGTAATCATTGACAGTTCCCAAAACAACATAGAATTTAGCATACAAAAAATAATAACATTATCTGTTTGTAAATTGACATTTGTAGGGGTTAAAATTCTGAAGAAAATATATTTGTATTCATTTTGATCAGAACTAAAGTTGGTAACAATATTGAACCGAGTGCTAGTGAAACAAAATAATATATATTGATTTTTGATGTCTAAATTCAAGGTCCCAACGCCTCATTTTCAGTACTGTGTCCCCTGTAGTAACGCTCATGTTTAGTTATTTGCAGTCTTAATGTAATCTTCTCTATCTCCCCCTGCACAGCGCCCGCTCGGCCTCCCACAGCACGGTGGACCCCGACGAGGTGAGGAGGTTCCAGTTACTGGCCAGCAAGTGGTGGGATGAGCGGGGGGAGTTTGCTGCTCTTCACGCCATGAATGACCTGAGGGTGCCTTTTATACGGTGAGTGTTTCAACATGATATGCATGATTGAGAGGCGTCAAGCAACTGTGACAAAACATAACCTGGGGCAGATTCAGCCTTGTGGTATTTGAGAGCAAAAACACATACATTGAAGTAACATGAATTGGAAGTGACAGGATTCCTGCACACATCAGCACATTTTCAACAAATAGCGTTTCAGCTCCCCCAACTCTACATCAGGGTTGTTTTGGTGCTGCTGCGTCTGTTTTGATTGATAAGATTCGCTGTAGGGGCCCCCACAAGATAATCAGTATTTTACCCATCCCCCCTTTTCTGTGGTCCTGTTGGTGGAGGTGATGATGGTGATGTGTGTGTGTGTTGACAGTGTGACAGATCCAGTGCCACTGTGTGTCTGAGTGAGGCTGATTTGCCCTCAGGGTGTGTCTAAATGAGACCGCTGCTACTGTTGCTGCTGCACCTTTTACACTCTGACTCTCTTACTGTGGTACTATAGATACAAACACATGTTCATTTTCTTGAATATCATTTGTGAACTTGAACATAGATAATAGAGTCTGGAGTCCATACAGTAATACCACATTAATAAAAGACACAATTGCAATAAACCTCGCTGTTTTTTAGTTTTTTTTTCAGAATCAACCAGTGTTTTTATTCACCACTATATCACCTAACCCTAATATGACATGACTTAGTTGAATACTTGATTCTGATTGGTTAATTCGGACATTTCAGAGTTTTATATGACTGTAGTACAGTCCGCTGTCAAGGACTATAATGACCGTTGCTAAGGATGATCAAGAGAGAGAAAGGAAAAGAGGTTTAATGACGGATCGCTGGACGTCAGATAAATCAACAGAAGCAGACAGACAGGAAGTAAACATTAACGGGAACACGGTATGAGCTCTAGTTTTTAAGGACTTGTTGGGACTTGGACAGTCACAGAAAACATCATTCAGAGCTGCCTTCATTTTAAATTCACTTTGAATTCCAGCTGTTGGTACGCCATGGAACAGGGTTTTATTTTCTTAGTGGAAGCAATACGATTATTTATAAGTCAATACAATAATTTCAATTAATATATCAATTTAATGAATGTCAAGACGTTAGTTTATTTAGTATGTGGCTGTGTAATAAGTGGGATAATGTGCAGCAAGGCAGTCATATTATTATCCCTTACATATTCACCACTTAGTCATCTTAATTCTGTCAACAAATTATATATTGAATTGTGGCAGTGCTTTTATATAATATACCTATAAATATTCTAAAAAGCTTTTTTTAAATCTCTAGCATTATAGTTTGTATGCAGAAGGAGCTGGTTTAGGTGGGGGATACAGAAGGAGCTGGTTTAGGTGGGGGTTACAGAAGGAGCTGGTTTAGGTGGGGGTTACAGAAGGAGCTGGTTAGGTGGGGGTTACAGAAGGAGCTGGTTTAGGTGGGGGTTACAGAAGGAGCTGGTTTAGGTGGGGGATACAGAAGGAGCTGCTTTAGGTGGGGGTTACAGAAGGAGCTGGTTTAGGTGGGGGATACAGAAGGAGCTGGTTTAGGTGGGGGATACAGAAGGAGCTGGTTTAGGTGGGGTTACAGAAGGAGCTGGTTTAGGTGGGGGGTTACAGAAGGAGCTGGTTTAGGTGGGGGTTACAGAAGGAGCTGGTTTAGGTGGGGGATACAGAAGGAGCTGGTTTAGGTGGGGGTTACAGAAGGAGCTGGTTTAGGTGGGGGTTACAGAAGGAGCTGGTTTGGTGGGGTTACAGAAGGAGCTGGTTTAGGTGGGGGTTACAGAAGGAGCTGGTTTAGGTGGGGGTACAGAAGGAGCTGGTTTAGGTGGGGGTTACAGAAGGAGCTGGTTTAGGTGGGGTTACAGAAGGAGCTGGTTTAGGTGGGGGTTACAGAAGGAGCTGGTTTAGGTGGGGGGTTACAGAAGGAGCTGGTTTAGGTGGGGGTTACAGAAGGAGCTGGTTTAGGTGGGGTTACAGAAGGAGCTGGTTTAGGTGGGGTTACAGAAGGAGCTGGTTTAGGTGGGGGTTACAGAAGGAGCTGGTTTAGGTGGGGGGGTTACAGAAGGAGCTGGTTTAGGTGGGGGTTACAGAAGGAGCTGGTTTAGGTGGGGTTACAGAAGGAGCTGGTTTAGGTGGGGTTACAGAAGGAGCTGGTTTAGGTGGGGGTTACAGAAGGAGCTTGGTTTAGGGTGGGGGTTACAGAAGGAGCTGGTTTAGGTGGGGGTTACAGAAGGAGCTGGTTTAGGTGGGGTTACAGAAGGAGCTGGTTTAGGTGGGGGTTACAGAAGGAGCTGGTTTAGGTGGGGGTTACAGAAGGAGCTGGTTTAGGTGGGGGTTACAGAAGGAGCTGGTTTAGGTGGGGGTTACAGAAGGAGCTGGTTAGGTGGGGGTTACAGAAGGAGCTGGTTTAGGTGGGGGTTACAGAAGGAGCTGGTTTAGGTGGGGGTTACAGAAGGAGCTGGTTTAGGTGGGGGTTACAGAAGGAGCTGGTTTAGGTGGGGGTTGTGGTACAGAGAGCTGGTAGGTGGGGTTACAGAAGAGCTGTTTAGGTGGGGGATACTGAAGGAGCTGGTTTAGGTGGGGGGTTACAGAAGGAGCTGGTTTAGGGGGGGGTTACAGAAGGAGCTGGTTTAGGTGGGGGTTACAGAAGGAGCTGGTTTAGGTGGGGGTTACAGAAGGAGCTGGTTTAGGTGGGGGATTACAGAAGGAGCTGGTTTAGGTGGGGGATACAGAAGGAGCTGGTTTAGGTGGGGGTTACAGAAGGAGCTGGTTTAGGTGGGGGATTACAGAAGGAGCTGGTTTAGGTGGGGGTAAAGAAGGAGCTGGTTTAGGTGGGGGTTACAGAAGGAGCTGGTTTAGGTGGGGGATTACAGAAGGAGCTGGTTTAGGTGGGGTTACAGAAGGAGCTGGTTTAGGTGGGGGATACAGAAGGAGCTGGTTTAGGGGGGTTACAGCAGGAGCTGGTTTAGGTGGGGATACAGAAGGAGCTGGTTTAGGTGGGGGATACAGAAGGAGCTGGTTTAGGTGGGGGTTACAGAAGGAGCTGGTTTAGGTGGGGGTTACAGAAGGAGCTGGTTTAGGTGGGGGTTACAGAAGGAGCTGGTTTAGGTGGGGGTTACAGAAGGAGCTGGTTTAGGTGGGGTTACAGAAGGAGCTGGTTTAGGTGGGGGTTACAGAAGGAGCTGGTTTAGGTGGGGGTTACAGAAGGAGCTGGTTTAGGTGGGGGTTACAGAAGGAGCTGGTTTAGGTGGGGTTACAGAAGGAGCTGGTTTAGGTGGTGGTTACAGAAGGAGCTGGTTTAGGTGGGGTACAGAAGGGGCGGGTTTAGGGGGGGGTTACAGAAGGAGCTGGTTTAGGTGGGGTTACAGAAGGAGCTGGTTTAGGTGGGGGTTACAGAAGGAGCTGGTTTAGGTGGGGGTTACAGAAGGAGCTGGGTTTAGTGTGGGGGTTACAGAAGGAGCTGGTTTAGGTGGGGGTATACAGAAGGAGCTGGTTTAGGTGGGGGTTACAGAAGGAGCTGGTTTAGGGGGGGGTTACAGAAGGAGCTGGTTAGGTGGGGGTTACAGAAGGAGCTGGTTTAGGTGGGGTTACAGAAGGAGCTGGTTTAGGTGGGGTTACAGAAGGAGCTGGTTTAGGTGGGGTTACAGAAGGAGCTGGTTTAGGTTGGGTTACAGAAGGAGCTGGTTTAGGTGGGGGTTACAGAAGGAGCTGGTTTAGGTGGGGGGTTACAGAAGGAGCTGGTTTTAGGTGGGGGTTACGAAGGAGCTGGTTTAGGTGGGGTTACAGAAGGAGCTGGTTTAGGTGGGGTTACAGAAGGAGCTGGTTTAGGTGGGGTTACAGAAGGAGCTGGTTTAGGTGGGGGTGTACAGAAGGAGTGGGTTAGTTGGTTACAGAAGGAAGCTGGTTTAGGTGGGGGATACAGAAGGAACTGGTTTAGGTGGGGTTACAGAAGGAGCTGGTTTAGGTGGGGGTTACAGAAGGAGCTGGTTTTAGGTGGGGTTACAGAAGGAGCTGGTTTAGGTGGGGTTACAGAAGGAGCTGGTTTAGGTGGGGGTTACAGAAGGAGCTGGTTTAGGTGGGGTTACAGAAGGAGCTGGTTTAGGTGGGGGATACAGAAGGAGCTTGTTTAGGTTGGGTTACAGAAGGAGCTGGTTTAGGTGGGGGTTACAGAAGGAGCTGGTTTAGGTGGGGGTTACAGAAGGAGCTGGTTTAGGTGGGGGTTACAGAAGGAGCTGGTTTACGTGGGGGATACAGAAGGAGCTGGTTTAGGTGGGGGTTACAGAACTAGCTGGTTTAGGTGGGGGTTACAGAAGGAGCTGGTTTAGGTGGGGGATACAGAAGGAGCTGGTTTAGGTGGGGTTACAGAAGGAGCTGGTTTAGGTGGGGTTACAGAAGGAGCTGGTTTAGGTGGGGGGTTACAGAAGGAAGCTGGTTTAGGTGGGGGTTACAGAAGGAGCTGGTTTAGGTGGGGGTTACAGAAGGAGCTGGTTTAGGTGGGGGTTTACAGAAGGAGCTGGTTTAGGTGGGGTTACAGAAGGAGCTGGTTTAGGTGGGGGTTACAGAAGGAGCTGGTTTACGTGGGGGATACAGAAGGAGCTGGTTTAGGTGGGGGTTACAGAACTAGCTGGTTTAGGTGGGGGTTACAGAAGGAGCTGGTTTAGGTGGGGTTACAGAAGGAGCTGGTTTAGGTTGGGTTACAGAAGGAGCTGGTTTAGGTGGGGGATACAGAAGGAGCTGGTTTAGGTGGGGGTTACAGAAGGAGCTGGTTTAGGTGGGGTTACAGAAGGAGCTGGTTTAGGTTGGGTTACAGAAGGAGCTGGTTTACGTGGGGGATACAGAAGGAGCTGGTTTAGGTGGGGGTTACAGAACTAGCTGGTTTAGGTGGGGGTTACAGAAGGAGCTGGTTTAGGTGGGTTACAGAAGGAGCTGGTTTAGGTTGGGTTACAGAAGGAGCTGGTTTAGGTGGGGGATACAGAAGGAGCTGGTTTAGGTGGGGTTACAGAAGGAGCTGGTTTAGGTGGGGGTTACAGAAGGAGCTGGTTTAGGTGGGGGTTACAGAAGGAGCTGGTTTAGGTGGGGGATACAGAAGGAGCTGGTTTAGGTGGGGGTTACAGAAGGAGCTGGTTTAGGTGGGGGTTACAGAAGGAGCTGGTTTAGGTGGGGGTTACAGAAGGAGCTGGTTTACGTGGGGGATACAGAAGGAGCTGGTTTAGGTGGGGGTTACAGAACTAGCTGGTTTAGGTGGGGGTTACAGAAGGAGCTGGTTAGGTGGGGTTACAGAAGGAGCTGGTTTAGGTGGGGGATACAGAAGGAGCTGGTTTAGGTGGGGGGTACAGAAGGAGCTGGTTTAGGTGGGGGTTACAGAAGGAGCTGGTTTAGGTGGGGGTTACAGAAGGAGCTGGTTTAGGTGGGGGTTACAGAAGGAGCTGGTTTAGGTGGGGTTACAGAAGGAGCTGGTTTAGGTGGGGGTTACAGAAGGAGCTGGTTTAGGTGGGGGTTACAGAAGGAGCTGGTTAGGTGGGGGGATACAGAAGGAGCTGGTTTAGGTGGGGGTTACAGAAGGAGCTGGTTTAGGTGGGGGTTACAGAAGGAGCTGGTTTAGGTTGGGGGTACAGAAGGAGCTGGTTTAGGTGGGGGTTACAGAAGGAGCTGGTTTAGGTGGGGGTTACAGAAGGAGCTGGTTTAGGTGGGGGTTACAGAAGGAGCTGGTTTAGGTGGGGGTTACAGAAGGAGCTGGTTTAGGTGGGGGTTACAGAAGGAGCTGCTTTAGGTGGGGGTTACAGAAGGAGCTGCTTTAGGTGGGGGATACAGAAGGAGCTGCTTTAGGTGGGGGTTACAGAAGGAGCTGGTTTAGGTGGGGGATACAGAAGGAGCTGGTTTAGGTGGGGGTTACAGAAGGAGCTGGTTTAGGTGGGGGTTACAGAAGGAGCTGGTTTAGGTGGGGGTTACAGAAGGAGCTGGTTTAGGTGGGGGTTACAGAAGGAGCTGGTTTAGGTGGGGGTTACAGAAGGAGCTGGTTTAGGTGGGGTTACAGAAGGAGCTGGTTTAGGTGGGGTTACAGAAGGAGCTGGTTTAGGTGGGGTTACAGAAGGAGCTGGTTTAGGTTGGGTTACAGAAGGAGCTGGTTTAGGTGGGGTTACAGAAGGAGCTGGTTTAGGTGGGGGTTACAGAAGGAGCTGGTTTAGGTGGGGTTACAGAAGGAGCTGGTTTAGGTGGGTTACAGAAGGAGCTGGTTTAGGTGGGGTTACAGAAGGAGCTGGTTTAGGTTGGGTTACAGAAGGAGCTGGTTTAGGTGGGGGATACAGAAGGAGCTGGTTTAGGTGGGGGTTACAGAAGGAGCTGGTTTAGGTGGGGGTTACAGAAGGAGCTGGTTTAGGTGGGGGTTACAGAAGGAGCTGGTTTAGGTGGGGGTTACAGAAGGAGCTGGTTTAGGTGGGGTTACAGAAGGAGCTGGTTTAGGTGGGGTTACAGAAGGAGCTGGTTTAGGTGGGGGTTACAGAAGGAGCTGGTTTAGGTGGGGTTACAGAAGGAGCTGGTTTAGGTGGGGGTTACAGAAGGAGCTGGTTTAGGTGGGGGTTACAGAAGGAGCTGGTTTAGGTGGGGGTTACAGAAGGAGCTGGTTTAGGTGGGGTTACAGAAGGAGCTGGTTTAGGTGGGGGATACAGAAGGAGCTGGTTTAGGTGGGGGTTACAGAAGGAGCTGGTTTAGGTTGGGTTACAGAAGGATCTGGTTTAGGTGGGGGATACAGAAGGAGCTGGTTTAGGTGGGGGTTACAGAAGGAGCTGGTTTAGGTGGGGGTTACAGAAGGAGCTGGTTTAGGTTGGGGTTACAGAAGGAGCTGGTTTAGGTGGATGTCAGCCAACAGATAATCCTCCTTCCTTCACTGTTTGCACGACTGCTCCTGCACCCCAGCAGAGCTTTAATGAGCACAATGCATACCCACATCTCAGCCTGTTCTGCATGTCTGCTGCCCGGGGCCGCAGCAGTCAGACAGTGTGAGGGAGGAAGGGAGGAAGGGACTCGAGCGAGGGAGAAAAGGAGGGGGAATCTGTAGCCACAGGATCATTGTTGATGTTAGCTGGCAGACACTGACATTCAGATGGTTGTGACAGTGGATGGTGTAATCCAACATGTGTCATTCTCATATACCTACTTATGGCTACAAATGTTCAAGGGAGAGACACATCTGGCAAAAACTATATTTGTATGCCCTGCTGAATGTTTAACAATAGCTAGTCCCAGCCTGCTCCAACGAGGTCAAGGGAAAAATCGAATAAATTCATTTCTAAAGACAAAAATACTGTTAATTTAAAAAAAATGGTGCATTGTGTGATACAAGGGTTGCCAAAAATAGACATTTTAAATCTATTATGGCAACAAATAGAAACAACAATTTTTAACCTTGCCTCATCCAATGCTGGGATTTATTGTTTGGATATAATACATGTGCTTAATATGTATGCAATTGGCATGCATTAAATAAGATAATGCCTAACTTACATTTAAATATAACCTTCATAGTACTTTAGATACTAAAAATAACTATATAATGTGAGTAATCAACTGGGGAAGTGATATCTATCAGTTAATATTTGTACCTTATTCATCGTTAGTGTCTCCCCTCAGTACGCGTTCATCTTCCCTCGGTTTTTACAAACTCATCTGATCGTAACGTGGCGGGTGTATGTTGAAAAGTAACACGAGTAAGGCGGTTGTAGTTTTATTTAATTCAACCCACCTTCCATTTACCTTTTTCAGGGATAATCTGCTGAATGAGCACAGACTGGGGCATCCTGGGAAACCACTGGCAGGACTCAGGATTCTGGATGTGGGCTGTGGAGGGGGCCTGCTCACCGAGGTAAGGGTGTCACTCTTTTGTGAGAAAGACGCAAAGCGAGTGCAAATTAGGGCATGTGGACAAACTATTTTAGCTTTCTCTGTGTCTATTCCCAATAGTTTAAATTGCTGCCTTCACGTCACCTTAAATTCTTGAAAGATATTCTGCTTTCGTTGCTTTATACTTCCAGTCCTTTCACATACCAGTGCCTAAGAAACCTCTAAACGTCAGCCTGATCCTCCTCCTCTGGTGATGTGGCTGGTCTCAGTGTGGTGGAGCGGACAGGCGGTCATTTATTGTTGTTTATCTGTTTGTTAGAGCTGCTAGCTGCGGCAGCTTCTGTCTCTATTATAACGGAGGACATACCAGCTGTGTGGTGTGATTTGAGATGACAAATTCAGGTCCTGTTCTTCTGTGGCTCTGTCACACAGGCTGTCATATTCAGACGCAGAAACACGCACTGAGAAGCCCTGAAAGTGTCTGTGAGGATGGCAGCTGTGTCTCCAGGAGTCTTGTCACTGCAGCTCTTCCCATCAGAAGGGATCAGCTGAGGGAGGATGGAGATCGGCCCCTGGGCCTGCAGCTCACCTCACAGGCCACCAGATGGCGCTGTAGTTTATATTACACCACTGTAGTTGTTTAATGACCTGCTCTTAAGTGATGTTCTCTAGTGCTCTAGACAGCGATTGTATTTTCTGCGTAGACTCCGGGCTTACGGAGTCGAGCAGAAGTTCATGTTACTGTTGTATCATGCAGTGTTGGAGAGCATCATTAGGTATGGTATCACTGTAGCCTGGTACGGTAACTTGACAGTGCAGTCAAAGTCACAGATCGCTCGTCTGGTACAGACTGCTATGAAAATGATGGGGGGTTTAAAAACACCCATCTCTCCAAAACATATATGAGCAGTCCATTATTAGACAGGCACAAAAAATGGTGTCTGATGATCCCACCCACATTCTCCACCCAGAATTCCAGCTCCTACCTTCTGGTAGAAGATTCAGGGTTCCCAAGATCAGGCTGAACCGCTATAAGCACTCATTCCTCCCTATGTCCATTAAGCTTCTTAACATTCACATGAAATGAAATGTACTTTTTAAATGTTGACCATGAGGGTAGTGCAATAGGTCGCCATTGTCAGTATGTGCGTCTGTGTATTGTGTTTGTTCAAACGGTGTATGACTGATGATATGTGTATGTATTTTAATGTTTACTATGTTTGTATATGTACATGTATGCGGAACTGCAGGATGGAGTCCAGAACAAATTTCCTTACGGGGACAATAAAGTATTTCGTATATATATATTTCAAAGGCTCATTCTTACAGTTTTATACTATATTTTATATGTTGCAGAATCTACCATGATGTTACTCATAATATTCTCTCTCCCTGTAACAAAGTATTTTGTGAAGCCAAAGAAAAACATAATATATCATAAAGACTAAATTAACTGAACACTACTGGTTAACTAAGAAATCGTATTGCTGATGGCAGTCCTCAAACCACTGACCTACAGTGGACCCTGTCTGACTCTCTCCTCCCTCCCCCACCAGCCTCTGGGCCGGCTGGGAGCCGACGTGCTGGGTATCGACCCGGTGGGGGACAGCATTGGTACGGCCCAGGTGCACACGGCCTTCGACCCGGACCTCCGTCAGCGGGTCAGCTACCGCGCCTGCACCCTGGAGGACCTATCAGAGGATGAGGAGCATGGGGGGGGGCGCTACGACGCTGTGGTGGCCTCCGAGGTGGTGGAACATCTGGCCGACCTGGAAACATTCGCCTCCTGCTGTGGTCACGTGCTGAAGGTGTGTCCCAGCCCGGGTGTGTGTGTGTGTTACCCCCCAGCTGTTAGCTCATATCAGATATTTCTGCACCACTACAGTGTGTGTTCACCCGAGCGTGTGCTGACGTGCATATGGTGATCTGTTTGTTGTGTTTGCATCTGTTGTGTTTCTCTGGGAATAGGTGAGCATGTGTTTTTATGAGTCTGCTGCACTGAACCCTGACGAGAGTGAAAACTCAACATCAATACCGAGAAAAAAAAAGATATTACTGAGAGAACAAATGATTGTCATCAGTGGACTGCCGAGGAAAAAAGCCTAATGTTCACTAGAGGCCTCTGTATTCAGTTGAGACGGGAATGGACTAGAGTTGAAAAGGGTCAGTTAATTTTCAAGGAAGTTTGCATTAAAAATAATGACAAACAATAGTGAACTTATTTTGAGGTTAATACAGTTATAAAAAGCAACATTTGGTCATGGCATGAGTTTTTATCAAATGTAATTAAACTGTAATCATGTATTGCATTCAGCAGAGCACTCACAACGTCACATGATAGATAGATAGCGTCCTATTGGATTGAAATTGAGGAACATGACTACCCTCTGCAGGCACAGTGCATTCTCCATCCCATGTGCAGCTCAGAATACTGCACTTTCTGAGCCAAATGTCTAGGTTGTATTTATATTAATATTCAGTGAAGCAGCCTATAGTTTGTAGACAAAGACAGTTTTCTGTAAAAGGTTGAAGTGGCTGTTTTTGAAACTTCTGCCTTGGTTATATTTTTCAGCTCCCTGGGGTTGCTTTTGGTTTGAATTCATGCATGTTATACACTCCTTACTGCTCACTGTTTCATTTCTTTACAATATAATCCTCTTTAAACTCTTAATTTGCATGAAGCCCAGATGATCAGCTAATCAGTTATTTCCCCCATTAGCTAATCAATCAGCAGATAACTCCCCACATTGCACATTTCACATTATGTATTAAGAAAGTAATAAATGTGTCTTGCAAAAATATACAAGAGAATGTCTGCTTATCATATGGTACATACAGTCTGAACAAATATCCACCATATTTCTATTTGACTTCCCATAGGTAATTACCATCCTCCTTGACTATTTCCAGAATGATGCAATCCAAAACTCTCTTTTCTCTTTCTCTCTTTCACTTCTGTGTTATTTAAAAAAACATTCACATACAACTTGCTTCAGGGCACCTGTGCTGGGATGCTTTAGCACGAGTTCTTGTATTGTTTGGATTCATTTTCCTGTTTACGAAAAATTATTAATTAAGAACCATTATTTTCAACCTCTTCCACGCTCCCCCCCCCCCCCCCACCTTCTGTTGAAATAGTTAATCTTGACATAGTTGAGCCTTGAGGTTGGGCACAGCTGCTTTCTGGACTCTGTGTATCTAATCCATTCTATAAATACCCTTAAGGACCAAAGTAGGACCTAACTTGTGTCCATAGTACCTGTAAGGGTGTGACGTCATTGTAAAACATGTTTTCTTAAGCAGTTTCATCAATAAGAGCTGTACATCTTTTATACTTTTGAAACTAAGACTGTTCCTCTCTGTGTGTGCAGCCAGGCGGCTCCCTCTTCATCACCACTCTGAATAAAACCAACCTGTCCTACGCGCTGGCTATTGTCGCCGCCGAGCAGCTGCTGCGCATCGTTCCCAGCGGCACGCACGACTGGGAGAAGTTTATCAGCCCCGTGGATCTGGAGCGCCTCCTGGAGTCCAGTAAGACCCTCCGTTTGCATATTTCCATAAATAAGAGCACACACAGGTTAAAGTAGTGTCCTTGTCGTGGCTTCCTTCCTTGTTTATCTATCAAGCCACTAGACGCCTTAAACAGACATGTTTTAACTCGTTTTCTTCCTTTGATAGTACTTACAGTTAGAAGAGTTGCTTGGCCTCCGATGGTTTGGATGGTATTAAGCGATGTGTTTGCTCAGAAATAAAATAACACATTTACATGTGCAACAAAGAAAAGAGGCCTTTACAATATTCAAAACAAATAAGCAAAACTCAAATAAAATAACAAACAACTTGGGTATTCTTTCTTTTTGATAAGGCTCACATAACTTAATAACTTAAAGGGTAGTTTAACATTTAAAAACTGTTCCTCAATGGCATCTTTCTAGCAGGTTGCCCATCACTGTCACTTTAGAGGAGGCGCCATGGGAATTGTAGTCTTTTATAGTCTGTTGACTACAGACGTGAAAATGAGGTGGCCTTTCTTATCAAAAACAAAATACTGGCTCTAACAGTCTTCTTTAAACCATAAACTAAAGATTGAGAAGTGCTAATAACCAGTAAGAATACAATTCATCCTGTAAACTAGGGGTTCCCAACCTTTTTTCCCAAGAGCCCCCCCAAATGACCCCCCCCCCCCCCACACACACACACACAAGGGGCGGGGGGGGGGTCGCAACAGCGGTAATTAAAGTTGAAAAGTCTAAAAAATGCTACAACTACTGTCACAAACTGGATGAATGTGAAGTATTTCGTTTTGCCGATGTGTTTATGTGGATTCAAAAGTCGTAAATAATCTACAAAATGGAGGAGACCGATCTGATCGGAGCAACTGTGACAAATAATCCAACTGAAACCGGCATGGACAATGACTATGTTTTAAAAATGCGCTTATCCAGAAAAACCCGGTTTGGACACTTTACGGGCAGAAGAAACATTTCTATAGAAAGAAAGAATTATACATTTCTGTCTTTTTATGCCTTTAATAGCTACTAACTTGAACTTTTATTCTAATTAATTAATCAATTAAAAAATATATTTTATTGTAATGTAGAGACGAGGCTTTTAGCGAAAATCATGTAGGCCTATTGCGTTTCAATTATATGTATAAAAAAAAAAAAAGTCTAAATATGATATTTGACCTCAAATCATCTGAGGCCTGGCCCTGGCCTGGCCCTGGCCTGGCCTGGCGCCCCCCAGGTTGGGAACCACTGCTGTAAACGACCCAATCAGAAAAGTAGTTTGCTTCTGTTTGTAGGCTTATGTCATAACCAGCCACTAATATCAGATACATCACATGTGGTTGCCAGGCCAGAGTTATATAATGGGCGAAAAAAAAAGCATCGTATGTCTTTGTGCTGCTGTCAGTCCCTCTCTAACACCCCCCCATCCTTCCATCCTCTCTCAGATGGTTTCTCAGTGCAGTCTGTCCAGGGGATGCTGTACAACCCCGTATCAGGAGCCTGGAGCTGGACCAACAGCACGGCCATCAACTACGCCCTCCACGCTGTCAAAGCCAGAGAAGACCCCCACACAGAGCAGGCGCAGGAGAGCACCGCAGACACACACAGCTGAGACACACAACAATCAGAAAATAGACTCACGTTTGTGTAAAGTCCTAACTACCCTGTGGCCAGCTGTGAAGCAGCAAATGAGACAGCGGTTATTAAAGGAAAGGGACAAACAGCCTTGAGGTTGAATTAGAGATGTAGCTGCACTCAAAATAACATGGCGACATCCGCCTTTGCTTTGCTTTAAACAGTGTTTTATGTGCTGTTCAAGGCCATTGTGCATCCTTTGATTGTGGCTTTCAACAGAGTTTATACTTTCACATGCATTATTTGAGTATATACTGTACAGCAGGGAAAATGTATTAATTCAAATTAATATGTTTCTGTCCGCTAACAATAAATATGATTTCCTGTTGGTTTTTGCTGCACACTGGAAATAATTTGTTCAATGTTAAAGCATGTGTCCACACACGAGCATAGGACAATCGCATCCTGTGGGATTATAAAGGGTCTCATGTGGAAGTATTACATAAATCAAATCAAGCCTGAAGCAGAGAGTAAGTCATGCTAGCATGATGTTCTTCAAGTGCGTGCAAAGATGAGATTTCTAAACCCAACGGACTGAGGTTGATGTTGTCTTTTTCAAGAATGGTTACTTGTGTTATTTGACTGTGTAGGAGATATTAAATGTGTCACGAAAAGCTACTGCATTGATTTGTATATAATTAACGTGCAAATTACAAAAAGCTAGAAGAGTTTGAAAGAAAAACAACAATAATCTTTTTTTATCTGGTGCTTCTTCAAATTATTTGAAGAATTTCGAGGTTTGGATTGTTGATGGAAGAAGAAGAAAAAACATAATTGTAAAGGATTAGAGAATTATAAGAGAAATAATCAGATGAATACATAATGAAGATAATACTTATTTAATATGACACACCTCCACCAAGTACAACAGTATAATCCTGCTTGTCCATTAATGCAGTTGGCAATTGTAATCGTATGACATAATGCTACCGGTCACATTGTACATTATCCTGATTACCTTAGATCATTTGATGTATTTATTTTTAATGAACGCCTTTTACATTTACATTACGTTGCATTAGTACTTTAACTAAGTAAACTGAGTACCTCCATCCCCGCTAGTGCCTGCAGTGTACTCTTGTTCCCACACTATTCATCTGTTTACAATAACACACTCTCCTGCTCTAATGCGCGCCCCCTGAATCCGCGGGAGTGCGCACCTAACTTGCAGTAGCCATGGCTGCAGTGAGGGTTTTAAAGTGCACCACCATTCAGTAATACACACCGGTAGTTAATTCCGTTTCGACCTAGACACACTGTCACCTGCTGACTGGGAGCAGACGGGATTTCATTTGGCACCAGGGTGTTCTTTTGTCACCGAAGCTGTTGTAAGCTCCTACAGGATATTTGACTAAATCGTCTTTTCTGGAAGTGTTTCCCCAACACCTCTCTGAATGCTTCACAAACAGATTAAAAGAACGTCAGGTGGATTTCTCCGTCAAGATGAATATCTTCCTACACTTCCGAAGTTGTTCAAGAGTGAGTATACTTTTATTTTGATATAATTCCGATTAAAAGTCTTTTACAGTTGTTGTTGTGTATGCTTTTTGAAAATGCGAATGCTGTTTAATAGACTACATTAACATTAAACGTAACGAATGGATATTGTTTCACCTATAGGCTATATGTACCTATAGTGTTTTTTTTTGTGCCGGTTTTTATCCTCCAAGGTAAACAAACTATCAACAGCAGATATTTTGATGGTGAATAAACTAATTGTCAATTGAGTAGGCTGTCGCATACACAGTTTAATTTCTTATACAAATATAATTTACTTGTCATAAGTGCTGGACGGCGCTGTGTTCCTCCGGGTAGCCACCGTAGCCACTGGTTTCACTGGGACGCAGGGCTCGTCAGGGCGCGGTGTCTCCCCTCCGGAGCAGACAATAGGCCGGCTGCGTCGAGCTGCCAGAGTTTAGCATGCTAACACCGGATGTTGCCAGAGTTCACCTACAAAATAAAAGTGTTAGGATATTACACAGCAATTATTTTTCTCAGACCACAAGCCCCTGGCCTGTTTAATCCTAATTTGTTGACATTTGCTAGTTGTGATGTGATGTACGTTGATGTTATCTTAAAAAGTAGTCTAGCTTCACTTACACATATTAGCTCTTTCTAAGACTTTCATCAGATCTCTTTAATTTACGTCAAAATGACTACTATGACTACTATGGTCAAGGATGAGCTTTAATGCTGAAATAAAACAAAGCTGTTTGAGAGTCCTGCAGAATGATTGAGCATGTCAAGTTTATATAATATAATGATATAAACATGTACGCTGTTGAAAACGGATGATGTACTTAGGATGAATATACAGCATTTACTGGTTGAACACCAGCTTTTAACATATTAACACTTAAATGATTTTTTTTTAAAAACAAGTCACTTAGCTTAAGTTTATTCAACAACGTCTTCAATATTCAAGTCAAGTCAATTGCAAATTAATTGAAAACAATAATAAGTCGCAGTCCTTACACCAGAGAATATCTGTAAAAGGGAAGGAGGAAGTTTCAGTAGTTCAGCAGTGTTTATTTTTGAAAGATGTAACCGGAAGTTAATGTGTTGTATTACCTCATAGCTTGACAATGTTCTCCCAAACCTGCAAGGGAAAGCGGACTGGGTGCTGATCATCAACCTAGGGGAGGGCGCACCGACATGTTTACTCCTAATATTCCAGATACATATTAACCACACAGCCGCCATGCCGTAGAAAACCCGCCGGGCGTTTGGATGAAGCCTAACGGGGACCACAGCGGGGAGGAAGCGGGGTGGCTCTAACCGAGGGAGGGGAGGATGTACTGGGCTGCTGGCTTCGCCTCTTCCCGGCCGTGTGTGGTTGAACTCGGGCGGAATCACAGCCTGCCGCTCGGGCTGTGCGGCTTCGAGCAGCAGCAGTCTTTATATGGCTGTATCATCGCCTTCCCTTTACAGGACTACGGGGGCATTATGTCGGTTCTGGGGTCGGACTCCTGGTGGAAGAAGACCCTTTACATCACCGGGGGGGCCCTGCTGGCTGCTGCAGCCTACCTACTGCATGAGCTGCTCGCCATCAGGTAAGCACCGCCATCACTTCCTTTTATTTAACCTGCTCACAGTGACTTATCGGTGTCATTGGAATGGGTTTGGATAGGCCTATACTCTGAGTGGATATTATGGGAATCCTTCCATAGGATGCCAAGTCTGCAGATCTCGCGGTGGTTGCTGAGGTTTCAGACCTGTTTCCTCCTCCCAAGGACACGACACTAGATGGAGAGAGACCAAATCAAATAAATAAAAAATGAGTCACGCGTCGGCTCATGTGCCACGAGCACCTGAGCGTGAATTCTGCGTGAGATTTACGTAAACATTTTTTTCAAACACCTACATCCACATCCTTATAATAATGATATGAGGGATGGAGAAAGTGATTATCTCCTTTCATAGTGCAGGGAATCCTTGCCTGTCAATGGGGGGATTACTTTGGGAGTAAGTACATCCTGTTGTGTCTCTGCTTTCACTCTCACAGACGTGCAATCACCGCTAAATTGACTTTAACACAGGAGTATCTCCTCTTGCACTTTATGTAGCTCTTGTATCTCCTCTTGCACTTTATGTAGCTCTTGTATCTCCTCTTGCACTTTATGTAGCTTTTGTATTATCTCTTGCACTCGTTGCTGCTACATTGTACTGCCATGTCATAAATACTTGTATATGCTGCTCTCTTGCTCTTTTTGCATATCATGTATTTATTTTTTGCTATGTTTATAAATGTCATGTTCTTATATGTTGTATGTCAGGGACTACGGATGGAAATGAGCTCAAAGCTAAAATCCGGCATATTTACCCTTGAAGCATTATGTGTCTTAAGTGTCCATTAATATGCATTGTCCCTATTCAAATAAACGATTAAAATGAGGCGTGATAGGAGAGTGGATTGGAATGGTTTCAGCACCATGTGTCAGCAGACAGCGACTTTGAATACTTGGATCAGTTTCAGCACCTCAACACAGTGTGTAAAGCTTGTGCAACATGTATTAATAACGTGTTCAGTTACCAGTTTATTAAGTAACTCAATGAAATGCAGTACATGTTATAATGTTCAGATTGAGTTAAAAACGGTTTTATATAAGTTTTGGACACCTGCAAGTATCACAAGTAAAGCTATCTACCAACATGAACTCTAGAATTATTGGTAACCCTTCCCTCAAATATGGAAATTCCCATAAAGCAATGTTATAACAGCAAAGAGAAAATATATCGTGTTGTACAGTGTCAGAAATAACGTTGTCAAGGTATCTGCTCCATAAAAACCGAATCAAGGGGCACATGTTGTATATTGTTATGTTAATACCTACAAATTGTAAGCATTGCAGGATCCGTTTTTTATTCAAAGCATCAATGAGTGTAATTATGTTTGATGGGTTGAATAGGGCACAGCAGTAAAGGGGCAGTTAGTTGGTGTTTCCATGGATTTGTTTTCATCTTTTAAAAGCCTTTGGAGCATTGAGTTGGATGTTTATCATGTTAGAGTTCAGAGAGGCACGGATTGAACTTTGTGGTCATTTTAGAGGCTGTCGTTTAGAGTGTTGCTATACTGAGTCGCATTTCTAGTGTTTTTGCCAATCCGTTTCACTGATGGTAGTCTAAATATTAGAAATATGTTTAATCCTCTGAATTATCAGAAAAGCACTTTTTATTGTTTTTTTTTTTTTATTAGATTTGTACTTAAAGGTGGGGTAGGTAATTTTGGAGAAACCAGCTCGAGTGAGCTAGAATTTGAAAATACACAGCCGGAGAAAATCTGCCACTTCCTTACAGAGCCCCTCCTCCAACACACACGAACGCGCACATGACCAATGAGGGCACGAGATTAGTTTGTGCACAGATGGAAGGCTGACAGGCAGGTAGGCCATCCAGTTACTTTAGCCGGGCCGGCTCAGATGATTGGTCGTGCTTTTTACAGCGTCACAGCTCCCACAGATGACTTTTGTTATGGATTATGGTAAAAGCATTTCATATATTCATTGCTATCGGGATGTTAAGAGCATTCCATGGAATATAACAACAAGTGTTTCTGAAATAAATTACATACCCCACCTTTAAGCTGGCAACTGACTGCATTTTCAAACAATAAAATCCCATAAAAGATTGGAGTTATTTTATACAGTTATAAGAAAAGAAAAAAACTCCCACAAAGAAGAGCTTTGGCCAGTGGTAAAAGATATGCTAAACACACCGGACATGCTCTGTCTGCCTGCACAATGATGCTAATGTCAGGATGTAAAGTCTCCTTTTACCCTTTCCTCTGTGCTGCATACATAACATCTGGAGAGGAACAGGAAGCCACACGGT